TGATTCTTTAGCTGTAAACTGTGTCACAGGGTTCAAAATGACCGCGTCCTATGTTGGGCGTGTCGGACCTCTCTCTTGCCTCGTATAGTAATCAAAGTATGTGGTATTTATACTCGTTTTATAATTAGCATTAGTGCTTCTTTTTTAATAATCTTCTTCCTAACAAGGTATAATTCTGCAGTCAAGAAAAAGTTGGGTACTGAAGAAATGTATAAGAGGCAAATATTAATGCTAATATTAATCTCATAAATCGAGTATAAATGTCCCCATTACTATACTAATGCAAATACTAATAATAAGGGAGTATAAACAGACTCTTTATACTTGTATTATATAAATAACGAGTGATCCACAAAAAAAATTCTAAAGTAAATCATGGAGTGACAAAGAGAAAGATTCGAATAACATCTGTGATAACTACGAACGACTCTGGTTTAAATCCAAGCTGTCCTTTTAAAAAAAGAGGAATATAATTGTACACTTTGACATATAATGTGATTTTTTCCAAAGCCTACTTTATAAACATTTTTTGGGGACCACCTAAAAGTCCTCGTCTCGAAAAAGTTTCTCCCTACCTCAATTACTTCTTCTAAAAAAAAAAAAGTCCTCACCTTTACAAAAATATTTCAATATATTTTCGATATTAAGCTTTGTAACTTCTGCACCACTTATAGGGCCTTTCTCAACAGCTTTTCTTTTAACCGAAAACTGATCTATAGGACTGATAAACACATACATAATATAAATAGTTCAAGCTAATCAAACTATTATTAGTAATTTTGGCTCTTTACAAGCTTTTAGAAGGAGAAATTAAAACCGAAATATTTTGAATATACTTATTATTATATATAAATGTTGATAACATAAAATTATTGCATCAGACGCAACTTTCTCGATACTAACATTTAGCTTGCTACAGGTGGAGTAGTAGGTATTCAGAAAAACAGGAACTCAATTACGAATATTTTAAGCAGATATTTGAATTTAATTTATCTGTGTAACGACATTTAAATGGCTATTATGACTTTCTTATGTAAGCAATAATGGTATAATTAACCAGTTATGATTTATTTCAATTTTGGATTCTGAAATTACTTATAAAGCAGAATAAAAACTTTCGAATAATGAATAACATTACACAATGAATTGAAACAAAAAAGTAGATATAAAAGGAAAACTTCATAGACGAAAAGTGTGCAAATTCAATGAAAGAAGTTAAGGAGCCAACATTTTTAAAGTACGTATTCACTAGAGCATTCGTTTCGCATGAGCATAAAATTTGCTCAAATGCTGCTTGAATATTGTCACATGAGTACCGCTCTATCCATGAGCATCGATCCAGCTGCCAGCAGTGTATTCTACAAACCTCTTTTTACGTTTTACGTCAAAAATTTATACTGAGCTACTTAGATTGAATACGAACAAAATCATGTTTGGATAACAAAGATGTAACTGTAGCAGAACATATTTAATTTTATCACTATAACAGGGACAGAAGTTGGAAAGGCTTTTGCCAGTTTTCCCAAGTCAATACGATTACCCGATTCAGCAGGTAATAATTTAAAATGGGTGGTATTATTTTTACTCTACAATACGACAAAGTTGTCCGACGAGGTTTGATGTTAACCTCCTATCTACCTACCAAAAGCTTTTCCAGCTTCTGTCCCTGCTAGACGAATACAAACAAAGTGTGCAGAAACAAATTATTTATTTATAAAAAGTAAGTACGCAAAAAATTACTTTTCATTCTGTAAATTTAAACATTTTTTTCAAGTTTACTTTGAAAATACTCAAAACCAATTTTTCTGTTCATTTATCTTATTCTTTTATACGTTCATGTCCTGCTTATACTTCAAAAGGACCATTGAAACAAACAATTGTTCATTTGCTTATTTCCTCGTTCTGAGCTCTAGTTTAGCGTTTCCAAAAAGCTTTATAAAGGGGCTCGTGAAAAAACATTATAATGACGAAATTTTAAATCCTAAACATCGCAAAAATTTACTAACGCTGACAATGTGAATCTAGCGAATCGAGACTTTCGCAAAGTTCGCCTTAAAAAAATGAAAATAACGTCTGCCAATATAAAAATGGTGCAGACACATAAGAAAAGTTGAGTCGAACTGAATTATACGACATGCATAATAAAGGTGCGTCCTCACCGAATCAACATTGCCGATCGACATTGTTGATCAACAAGTCTACAAAACTACATCTGTCCACACCAGAGTTGACAGAAATGTTTGTCGATCAGTCGACGGTAAATTCATTAGCAATTTCCATAAGGGCATCGTGCCTCAAGTTTCTGCTGTTATAGTTTTTGTTTTTAGAATCCCACAGATTTGTTCTCAGTTTGTATGCCTCAATAAATTCTATGACTTTATCTTGTTCCCATTTCATTTCTCCAACGAAAACACAATTACAATGTCAACAAGGCAAGACGTTACTGAGTACTTAGTACTCAGTAATAACAGTTTGTCGAATGTCGAACGTCGAAAACACGTCCACACACTAAAGTCGATCGGCTGCTCTTTCATGTTTACCGACAGGCGATGGAAAACAAATCGACATGTCGATCGATTTATTTTGTCGATCGACACCGTCGATTACCGCGTACACACAAAGTCGACAACGTCGATCGACAGTGTTGATTCGGTGAGGACGCACCTTTAGAACCACGAATGATTTAAAAAGATAAATAAAGTAGTAGTTAATGTGTAATGTGTACATAATTATTATTAGTGTAAGTGTAGACGAGTTTGACAATTTCTTCTTGTGTAAATAAATTACAACAAATTTTACAAATTTATGACAGATCGTTGGAAAACGGATAGTATTGTCAAGTCTGACAAAAAGCTAAACGAGTAATCAATTGATTCTTCCACTTGAGTGTCATAAGACTAAAAGCAATGAAAAAACAGGAAAACAGAGTGAAAGAAAGGGAAGGAAACGAAAAAAGGGCAGTGACTATTTACAAATGGGTTTTTATTTCACCGTTTATAGCAGTTTAAGAGTTTTGGTTCTCTCAGTATCATTTTATCAAGAAATGACAGCTTCAATTAACGTTCAAGGATTATATTACTAATCAACCTATATGGAGTCTATTCTGTAATATTTTAGTAAATTTTAACCGCCATATTAAAAGGTTATTTATGACTATGACGTTTAAATTTTAAACCAAATCTCTATTCTCTATATTCCATCTTTTTAATTTGGTGTTATTAGTTATTTTATAACCAATCCCAGATTAAATAGATATGGCAACGATGTAATATACCTAAAAGTGAATTAAAATTAAGCCCAACGCAGCATTAAAAATCAGAAAAAGAAAATATTTGACATGTAATCATTACCTACTAGATTTAATACTAACAAGTAATAATTTTAACCAAATAATACAGAATACAAAATTAAAAATAACTTCCAGTTATTTTTATAAGCCAGGGTTAATTTTAACCAAATTTTTACAAAATTTACCCCATAATCTGAATAAAATAACTGGATGTTATGTATGTTAATACACTGCATAAGAAATAATGGTTATATATGTACCAAGTCAGCAAATAGATTCTTTATCGAACTAGTCTGATATTATAAACACTTTGCTGACGTGGTACATACAAACTTTTATGCCAACCCTAAATAATTATAATTAATAAAAAAGAAGATATTATAACAACATATTTTAGTAAAACAAAGTAAACAAACAGAAAATTTACAGGGAATACAAAACAAATCAGTTACAGACTATTTCTGTCAGACGGTCATGGGTACATTGATAAATATTAGCAGCACATAAAATATTTGATTTTTACAGTGAGATAGTATTTGTTTACTTCCGCATATCGCTATGGTAATGCATGGCTTTATTGACGGTTGAAGATAAAACAAATTATTTGTTATATAATATTAAAAAATAAAATATAACTGAGGAATCACTGTTATTTTTTACTACCGTTTTATTTGAATATTTTCTTCGTGATGACATTTAACCTATCCCATTGGCATTAAGCGTTGATGCAATTTTTCGCATTATATATTCAATATTCAAGTCATTGAAAATGAAAGTGGAATCTGTAAATTACAAATTATTATCGCATTCTCGAGACAGAGGAGACGGCTTATTACGACATGGACCGGCTTAAGAAAGCAGCCGTGGCCAGTTTTTGACGAGAAAACCACCGATCGGTTCAGATGTGTCCTACATTTCGGTCTTCAACCTCTGCCATACAAATTACGCAAAATAAGTAAAAAAAAAATATGTACCAAATGGCGATTCATAAATCAGTGCCGTAAATGGAAATGCTAAGAAATGCGTATTGCAGTATTCCTTGATCTGGACAAAGCGTTTGACACAGTCTCTTATAAAATCTTATACTCGAAATACTAAGGAACTATCGTGTGCTTTTAATCTCTTGATATACATTTGTGTTTATTAAGTCTATTGTGTCTAGTGAGTGATGTTGTGACTTGTGACACTCACTGTTATATTTATAATATTTACTTTAATGAAACAACTGAGATGTTGGTTTTCATTAGTTTTATTTAAGCGTACCAATATGTTGAGTGTGTATCTTTTACCACTGAAACTGAACTGTCATTCCACAGTTGCCAATTTACACAGTGAGTGCCAACGTGGTGCCAACATGCACAGTGGTGCCAACATGCACAGTGGTGCCAACATGCACAGTGGTGCCAACTTACATCCAACATATATGACAATATTGTTGCTGTCAAATAATTCTAGATTATATATCTATGTGTAGGGAAACTAGATCGCAGCGAGTAAAGGTTGCCTATGAGTTTAGTACCAAATCTGGGGCATACAGAAGTACCTCAATTACCTAACGCTACTGTTTCGAGTTATAATCTAATAAATACAACTCTTGTATAATTACTAAATCAGAAAACACCTAGTAATTATTATCCCCCTTATTAATACTTGTTTTGTAAATATACCATATAAGTTATATATAAATAACATAACAATGTTCTTGTTTCAGGATACAGTCAAGAAAATTTCAAATGTCCGGACGATTTCGGATTCTACCCCCACCACACATCCTGTGATAAATATTGGAAATGTGACAATAATGTAGCTGAATTAAAAACGTGTGGGAATGGTTTAGCGTTCGATGCTAGCGATCCAAAATTCTTAACAGAAAACTGTGATTACATCCACAATGTCGATTGTGGTGATAGGTCTCAATTAGGTAAGTCAAACTAATTTAATCACATATCATTTCTAAATTACACATGTCAAACTACCAGGCCCGACGAGTGGGAAGGGCAGGGGGCAAAATCCCTGAGGCTAGATTTAAAAAAATTAGTTATAATATGTGGGGGCGGGCCCTTGTCAGCTTTTGGCCCGGGGCCCCATCATAGCGGCAGTATACCCCCGTATGTGTGCCCTTGAGTCTGTCTGAATTACTTCTCTGTTTACTGTCTAAAAAATCGTAGCGGACTCTCAAATATCTAATGCCTTAATAGTGATGACGTAAAGAAGAGCCAAACAAAGCTGCTTATAGACTAAACCACTAGTTTTTAATGGGGTTTTTTCAAAATCAATAGGTCGCGTCACCTTATGGAACTTTTCGTTTTTGATTAGGACTTTTTCATTATTTCAACCCCCCTTAATATATAATATATGGTTGGCCTTCTATATTATACTCTTCACAGTTTAACAGACCCCCTTAACCCCCCATTTTTATTCAGATTACTTTTAGAATCAGTAGGTTTTATCCCCTTGTGGAGCTTACTTTTCCTAAAGATTTCAAGTTGATATCGTTTTTTTTTTGTTTCTAAGGTTGGATATTTTTAATATTTTAACACATTTTTAATCAATTTTTTTTTTTGAAAATCAATAGGCTTCATCCCCGTATTGAGCTTAATTGTTAATAAAAAATTCATGGTGATATCGCTTTTCGTTGCTTATTTCTGATTTTTTTTTTTATTTAAACCCCACTTAACCCACCATTTTTTTTAGATTTTTTCCTTATAAATAAGCTTTGTTCCCTTATAGAGCTTGATTTTTGCTAAAAATTTCAATTTGCTCATTTTTCGTTTCTAAGTTAGGGCTTTTTTTAATATTTCAAATCCTTCTAACCCCTCTATTTTTACTCACATTTTTTTCAGAATTAATAGGCTTCCTCCCCTATAGAGTTTGATTTTTACTAAACATGTCATGTTGATATCCTTTTCGTTTTTGATTTATGATTTTTTTATCAATCCCCTCCCGTAACCCCCATTTTTATTCATAGGCTTCGTCCCCTTATAGAGCCTGATTTATCATGAAAATTTCAAGTTGATAATATTTTTCTTAAAAGCAATAGGCTTTGTCCGGTTATAGAACTTGATTTTTATTAAATATCGCGTTTGATTTTTGATTTGTGATTTTTTTTATTTCAACCTTCCTTAACCCCCACTTTTTATCAGATATTTTTCAAAATCAAAAGGCTTTGTCCCCTTATAGAACTTGATAATTCCTGAAAATTTCAAATCGATATCCTTTTTAGTTTTTTATTTATATATTCTTTTAAATTTCAATCCGCCTAAACCCCCCTTAACCCCACCCCATTTATATTTAGATTTTTTTAAATACGATAAGCTTTGTCCGCTTATAGAACTAGATTTTTCCAGAACATTTCAAGTTTTTCGTTTCAAAATAAAACAGTGCCTGAAGCCATCGTGAAAAAAAAATTAAATAATTTACCTAACCTGGAGCCATTGCGGGTTGCTTGGCAAAAAATATATAAAATGAGGAAATTTATTAACTAATCTAATCTACCCCTACGTACAGGTCGTACGTAGGGGATCAGTTAAATTTAAATGTCTTCAGGCCGCACAGTAAATTGGTTAAGATTTTGAAAATTTGTCTTTATTTTTTGTATAATTTTTTGGAAAGGAACCCGATATGGCTCAAGGTTGCACAGGTTAGGTGAATTGGTTTGTTTTTATAATTTTATGTAAAAAAGTTTTGCGGAACACCTCGCGATAGCTCCAGGAACTGTTTCGTTCAGGTGCTGTTTTGACAAACACTATTTTAGGGTGAGATTACAGAACGTCTGCAACTTTGCAGATCTGCAAATATGGCGGACTTACAAATGCAAGTATTCCAAAAAATATCTGCAAATTCGCAATATTTATTGTGGTTTATTACCCCCAACAACACTAAACCCAAATTTGGAATACGAAAACTTGATATTTGCATATGTAAGTCAGTCATATTTGCAGATTTTCAAAGTTGCCGCCATATTTGCAGATCTGCAAAGTTGCAGACGTTCTGTAATCTCACCCTTAATATGCACTATTTCGTTCAGGCGCTCTTCTGATACGCGCGCTATTTCCAGTGGCGTAGCGTGGGCCAAAGGGCAGAGGGTGAGAAAATATTCTGGGGCGCCGAACCTCTGTGAGAGGCACCAAAAGCGCTCTAAACGCAACGGACGGATGGGCGAGGAGGTCGCTCCTTCTGGTCCCCTATACGCTACGCAATTAGTTATTTCGATCAGCGCTATTTCGTGAAAGAGCCGAATAAAATATATTCCTAAACCAGTTACATAACATTTTAGTTAAATAATCGTTTACTAATCAATTATGCAAAACAGTAAATAAAAAAGAGGTTAAGCGTGAAAGTAAATTTTATCACTCTTTTTATCAAGGTTGCATTCACGTAGAAAAGTGTACGACTACAAGATTACGACCTTCAAATATATTAAAAAATCCAAACTTTTGTATTAAAACTTATGATGATGACAGGTTTGTTTTTGTTTGGCTCACTGACGTCACACGAATGCAGAGCATTGTTAATGTTTTATTCTTGTCTACAGGGTCATGTATATAAAAATTTAAAATACTATTTGTTACAGAGCCCGCGGTAGGGACGACACACTGCGAAAGGCTGTACGGTATCTTCGCAGACGAAGCCAAATGTGACGTGTTCTGGAACTGCTGGAACGGCGAAGCTTCCAGGTATCAATGTTCCCCCGGTCTAGCTTACGACAGAGAATCCCGAGTTTGTATGTGGGCTGATCAAGTACCAGAATGTAAAAACGAAGGTCAGTGTTAAGGCTATTAGTGTACTTTTATATGGAAAGGACGATCGATTACACACTCAGTACCGAAAAGAGAAAGCTATACAAAAAACGATCCTTGCTGGAACTGAGGTTTTGCTTGTTTAATGCAGTTAATTATGACACATCACTGTTATTTGGTATCTCGGTTGTCAATTTACTAAAATCTTTTCCATATAGAAGTATACATTTAGCTATGATTGGTGCATTTTTTAATATACTTACTGCTAGTAGAAATATTTAGCTAATCTAGCGATGCCAAACTAATATAACCAGATGCCATAATATAGAAGGTTTATTTTTTATTTTAGTGACGTGATAAAAAAAAAGTTTCTCAAGTAGGCTTGGAAAAATTCACGCACATTGAAGCGTATAATTCTTTTTTTTAAGTATTAGGCATTCCAAACAAAATGGCTGCCCGTTTGAAATGACAGACCACTGACAGGTTATAATCTGGCAACACTGTGGGCTTGGTGATTTGCTAGGCTCAATGCTATATACAGTTATATAGATTGATCATCCATGTTTTTCAAAATAAACATAAGCTTATGCCTTGAAGTAAAAATGTAGGAAATTACATTTTTTAATATATTCAAAGGCTGGAAATTGGTTTTAAAACATCACGCTTCGAGAAATCCATATAAATATATGTTTCATTGACCCTGTCAATGACAACAGGCCCACAGGGTTGCCATATCTAAACTGTCAGTTCCCACTTTCAGCATTTTGACAGGTCGTTGAAATGCCTGATTAGTTTTTTGCATATTTAATTTTGTTAGTCACAGCCTACTTTAAAAACATTTTTTTTATCACTCTTTATATTGCCAGTGGAAATATTTAACAAATCAAGCAAAATTTGCTGCACGCGCTGCACAACATTAACATAAATAGGTGACATAGACTGTACCAGGGTTTCCAAAAGCAGAAAAGTAAAATGTAACAGATTTAAGTACCAAAACTCGTCACACAAGTTCATTTAATTAATTTTGTAAACAAATCAAGAGGATTCTTTTTTATTTAGTGGTTATTGTTATTAATTTTTTTCTTTTTCATTATCTTGATGTGTTACAAACTAGAGTATATTATAGGAGTTTTTATGGCGTGACACAATAGTGGCGACGAAGGAAAACTTAAAAATCAATTAATAAAGTACTCATTCTGTTGAAATTTTAAGTTTTTTCTGAAGTAGCTATTTGGGAAATCCAGGCGCAGACAGTTATAATAAAATTAATGCATTGCTTGTGATGTATGACGTTTCTGAACCAATCACTATCATAATCCATTTCAAAAAGTTGCATGAAATCACACCCATTAATTTCTTTTTCTTTACGTATACTCAAAACAAACTTTTCTTGGATGTACATTTTAAAGTATAGGGGAGTCTCGGGCAAAAGGAGTCACTTTATTTAATACGTTGATTTTCACCCAAATAGTTGATCTGACAACTATGCAAAGACACAAACTAGGGTTCTATTCACAGAACTAAAATTAGGAGAATGAATTTGACAGTTTACAAAACCGTTCCTACAAGGAGAATAAAATTAAGGTTGTTTTTGAGTTTGCGCAGTAGGTGCCAAACAGGGTCATAATTTAAAAAAATATATACAATATTTTCAGAAAAAAATTTAAGGTGTTGTACAATACGCGGTTAATCGTCCCAAAAATTGTTTTTAAATAAATAAAATTAACATTTATTTTCAAATCACTTTCACGAATGACAATTGACATGTCTGACAGATACTCACTGCGCAAACTCAAACCTCAATTTTGAATCTCCTTAACGGAACGTAAATTTTGAGCAAGAATTGACATTAAATCCATTCTCCTAATTTCAGTTCTGTGGTTCTATTACAATTAGAAGAACAGCTACGTTTAGTGGAGTGTTAATAATATAGGAAATATTGTTTTATAACTAACAACTTACCTATTTTTTATTTATTGATAGTTATAGATATTGGGTCCTATGATTGAACGTTTACGTTATCCGTAACGTACATGTTAGGTCGAATTTTAACAGTACAGAGGCAAGTTCGTATGATGGAAAACTGTTAAATTAGAACATAACAGGCATAAAATAACAGTAATGTGTTGGAAAAAGTTTTCCATCATACGAACTTGCCTCGTTACTGTTAAAACTCGGCCTAACATGTACGTTACGAATAACGTAAACGTTCAATCATAGGACCCAATATGTATTCGAAATTCGAAGTAATGGTTATGACATAGCGGTATTTTTCTAATTGTAATCGGATCCTAGGATATGATAAAATTGATAAAACGTGAAAAAGTGTGGTTATGTCTTACCTTAGTATAGAATCATTCAAGATATATCCAAATATATCGTATTCTTGTACCAGACGCTTAAGAAATCGGCTTGAAACTTTCACAAAGAATGTATTTATGCACTACAGATTTAACAAATGTCGAATATACGCGCTAGTACCAAAAATATGTCAACAATAACTCTAAATCATACATCATACACCAGGCAAACTCGGCGAGGTTTTAACAAGGTTGCCACGTTTATAACTTTTTTTAGTATTATAGATATTTATGTGATTCCTTTTGCCTGCTATATTCCTTTTGCCCTAATCTTCCCCACACTAATTTTCTGAGAATATAATGGCGTATCAGCTTTTAGTTTACAGGCTTTAACTATTTTTCCTTATAATTTCAAGTATAAATAACTTGAATTAACAAAGTCTACAAAATGTCATTTTTTAATCAAGGTCATTTCAAGGTCACCGTTTTTGGAATAGGTATATATAGGTATCGTGTTATTTATTAAGAAAAAATAAATCACTTTTGTATAAACCATTTTTTCCTCTTTCCCTAGGTTTTGAAATAATAAACATTTTAGAGGTACCATTTGGGAACGCGCGACAAGCGACGCGAGACCGAGACAGAAGTAAGGCGGCAAATATTGCCATACTAAATCTGGTGCCGTCGGTCGCTTCTTCCAAAATGTGTTTCATATAATTACATGTGTTCAGACATGAAGAGACCGTTTAGTGTTTCCCTTGCTGTCGCGGCGCGTTTTGAAGTCGGTCTCTGCCTCGGCGTGCGAAATGGTAGCTTTAAGACAATATTTACTTCAAATACTGAAAACGGCGACCAAAGATAAAAGCGATTTCTACCTCTTAGATTAGCAGAACGATTTTGAGTGTACATAGTACTTTGAATAGCCGCAAAGGAAAAATTAAGCGGCATCAGGTTGGTGATAGCACAGGCCAAAGAATGGAACTTCTACTTTCTTGAATGTCATGTGGGATGTATGTTTAGAGTCCGATTACAATAAGATGAACACACCTAAGTCATCATCATCATTTATTATGTATTCAAGGCCCTCTAATCTTACTTTATCGAAAGCCTGAGCTGCATCTAGAAAGAGTGAGGTACAGATCTTCTTTTCTTCCAATGTTTTCACTATTTAGTTTGTTATTCTGTGGACTTGATTCTAAATCTATATTGGTGGTCAGATATTATATTTTTACTGTCCAGTATCGGATTGGGCCGTCGGCGTCGGTCTACCAGTCCAAAGACCGGTAAGCCATCATTCAAGTAGTGGGTCCTGGTTCAGGCAGTGCGCCCTCGTTCAGGCAGTGGGCTCTCGTTCAGGCAGTGGGCCCAAGTTCAGGCAGTGGATCCTCATCATTCACTCAGTCGGGTCGGTGGTGTAGCAGTCTAATGCGCTTATATTCATTTATAGGCAAGTTTATGGTCCGAGACTGCCGGGCTTCGAATCCCAAACCAGACCATGTGGATTTTTAATTAAATTGCATGGTTCGGTATAGGATTTGATGTGTTCCGTATTAATAGAAATTCAATTTCTGTTGATATGACATGCAGATTTTAAAATCACCATGCATTACCGTCTCGATGATGGTGGGTGAGGTTTTCCGGGTTTTCCTCACCTGTAAGTCAAATGGTACCATCAATCATCTTTAAGTCGCCCCGGAGTGCCACGGCAAATAATATTAATATCAGTCTCTTTTCCCGCACAAGCTCAACTTTTGGGGTTAAAATTCACTCGTAAGGGGGTGAATTAGGGAGAGTATTATTACTGTCTGAGATTTTCTAATTCTAATAGAACTGCCCTAAAAATATGGTACAGGACCAGGAAGCTCTTCTACTCCCTCTGGTATCGAGAGGCGTAACTAAGAGCTAGGGATGCGCATGATACGTCATGTTTGAAAAACATCGATATTTGGCTTTTGACGCGACTTTCAATGTTTCAATTTTCGTCAGTTTTATTTTTTTAATAACATCGATCGACATCGATGTTTTATTCGATATTTTTCATTCTTCAGCATATTGTCACAATTCACAATTCAAAAAACATAAATTTTTATCGCACAAATGCGCCCTCTAATAGTCAATGAAAAAGTTTTGAAGCATATTTTGGATAATTGCGATGTAAATTTATTAAAAAATAATAGTTTTCTTAGTTTTGCTTTGTTTTAATATTACATTTGGAATGTTTATATTTGTTTGTATTTTTTTTATACCTACTTTTAAATGTATAAGTTTTAAAAACATCGATGTTTATAAATATCGTTTTTTTCACATCGGTCATTTTAATGCCATCGATACTTTGTATTTGGTATATCATTCGATGTCAGTATCGACGTTTTAAGAAATATGCGCATCTCTACTTAGAGCTCAAACTATACTTGTTCGTTTACGTTCACGGTCTCGCTAAAACCGGTTTCGGGTACTGTTAAACTAGTTACGGCTCAGGTTTAACCGGTTCGAGTAGAGTTACACCGTTTACGGTTAAACTGGCTCCGGTTAAACCGGTTACGTTTTTTAACGGTTTTTTGGTCCTACGGAACCGGTTAACCTGTCACGGTTACCAGCCTTAATATATATCTACTGCGAAACTGTATTTATTCATTTTTTATGTTAACATAACTGCTGTTACCTGTATTTCTTGGGTTCCTATTTTGTTCTCGTCATAATGGTTAATATTTTCTTTTATTATCACGGCGCTTCCACCTTTAGCGTTATACCACGGATGTACCCAGACAGCACACCAAATCCTTTGGATATCTACTGAACATCCCAATATCCACTGAATGTCCAGTCCATGGTGGATATCTATTTTATATCCATGAAATGTAATTTATAGACATGCAAATGTCCATAAATAATTGTAATTATATAGCAAATTATTAAAAAATTACGCCATTGTACTCGCCATTGTGGCTAATAGTACCGTTGAGATATTTAAAATTAATTTTTTTTAAGGTGTATTCAATATCCCATGGACATCCACTATAAATATAAATATATCAAAGTCTAAGCGCGGACGCAAACCATCGTGGATATCTACTAGATGTAATTTTTGATTTTGCTTCCTAAGTATAGATGGCGATACCACTTTCGTATCTACTCATGCTTAACCCGCCGTAATTGAGTTTGATCGACATTGTTTCACAAACATACTTCATTAGAGACTGAAGTCGAGAAGTACCATTTATTCCTGAAGATTCCTAATAAGGATTATTTTCTCCTTAGTAGTTAAAATCAAAGGCAGATTGTTGGGAATATTTTTTACCTCTATTTTCTTTCGACGGTATTCAATAACCATTGGTTACTTATGAACCTCTACTAAAAATAATTATAAAATATTTATCTGAATTTATATATCCTGGGATATAGACGGACATTTGGTTGGATATCCACAAAATATATTCTATGGATATATCTGGGATTTCTTGTATTGTCTGGAGATACTCATTAGATATTTTGCTGAATATCCATAGGATATCTTCTATATTCTGGATATAGACGGACATTTGGATATCCATATTAGTTCCACGGAATATTTCTGATATCCTGTGGATATATTGGATATCCACAAAATATATTCTGTGGATATCTCTGGGATTTGGTGTGTTGTCTGGGTATATAACTATAGACTTTATATCCTTTAAATTCTACATAGCTTTGTTTTGTTAAATGTCTTTTTGATATTAGACGTATATTTATACATATTTTGTTCTATTAGGAACACTTGTAGCTCTTCTCGATTGTCAAGTATTCCACGTTACAATGATTACGAGTAAAATTACAGAACGTCTGCAACTTTGCAGATCTACAAATATGGCGGACTTACAGATGCAAGTATCAAGTTTTCGTATTCCAAAATCTGCAAATTTGCAATATTTATTGTGGTTTATTACCCCCAACATACTTAAACCCAGATCCACCCTTAAAGAGGTTAGAACATCCTCAATTTTTACTTTTTTTTTTTTAATAACCATGAAGTCTTCTGTTCTTTTGATTGAATACAGTTCGTGATGTCAGATTATCGAGTTTTTAAACCTAGCAATGGATTTGGGTTTAGTGTTGTAAGTACGCCATATTTGCAGATCTGCAAAATTGCCGCCATATTTGCAGATCTGCAAAGTTACAGACATTCTGTAATCTCACCCTTAGTCTTTACGCTCCATTAAGAATGTCTAAACGTTTGGGGGAAGGTAGTTTCCTCTAATCTGGTAATTATGTCAAGAATTGTATAGATTTGGTACGTTGAAGATTCTCTTTTCAATTTTATTTTGTCTGTTATTACTAGCCACGTTTGAGTATGTCAAATTTGCCATTCCTTGTGCATTATTATTGTTAGGACGTCTGGTTTGGGTATTATTTCTATTGTGGTTAGTTTTGTATTGTATCTCTTTTGCAACTTCGCATTCTTTATAGCTTGCTGGATGTGCTTGATTACAATTTACGCATTTACTTGCCAGCTTATCACACACTTCTGTAAGATGGGTTTTGGCATATTTAAGTTAGTGCTTGTAAACTAAAAGCTGGTATTTTATTCGAAAGAAGCAAAGGAAAAGAAAACCATTTAAAGGAGTTATAAGTCATACCTAAATCACATCATTTTATAATAATGATTTTCATTCATATTCATCATTTTTTAAACCATTAATTGTTCTGTTTTTATCATGGTCACTTAATAAATCATCAACTAAATAAAAGTACTAAAAACAGACTTTGACAAGACTGTGACACGAAAAAAAAATCAAATTATTTTTTTTTTCTAAATTGATAAAAATATTAAAAAAAAAAAAGTAAAAAAGAACACGATATCTAAGAACTCTACAAGTTGCTAATAAATCGCAGAAATTGCATAAACCACTATATTGTACATAAAAAATATTTATTGGCATTGTAGATACATGAAAATTTGTACATAACATTTTTTTTATTGGTATTGTACATATAAAATTGGCACCAAAATTAAACCCAATTGGCTTTCAGACTTCGACTGACGGACACCCCCACCCTTAACGTTCAATTATTAATTTTCCAGAAGTTGCAGGTGGTTTCACATGTCCCGCTGCCGGAGAAATAGCCAATGCCGGTTCATTCTCCAGGCATGCGCATCCAGACGATTGCAGAAAATACTACATTTGCCTCGAAGGGCAAGCGAGAGAATACGGTTGTCCCATCGGTACTGTATTCAAAATTGGAGATGCCGACGGTACCGGTAACTGCGAGGACCCTGAAGACGTACCTGGCTGGTAAGTACAAAACTCCGGAAATACGTTTACCTTATTAAAAAGTACGAAATCACGATGTTTACGTTTCCCAAAAGAAAACCGCAACCGAAAGCTCATTTCATATCGATTTATCATTCAAAAATGCTCCAGAACGATTTAAAGATGGCGTCCGAGCGTCGATTTAAGTCAAATAATATCTTCTATTTAAGGGAACATTTTGTACATTTATTTGGTGGAATATGACCAATCATATGACATGCATAGATATAATTTTTTAATATGCTATATTAGTGATTACGTAATTTGCGTGTTCCAATAACAAATGACAGCGACAGTAGACTTAAACGGTCCCACTGGTTGCATACCTTCAAACTACTTTTTTACAACTTGCAAACAATAATATTAAAAATAAATTAAAACATTTATGTCAATTTCAATGACTAAATGTAACAAATTGGGAGGTGTAAAATATATTTCTGTTCATAACATTTTATGTTTAAAAATTTCGGCATTTTGACCTAACATTATTTGATAAATTTTGATTTTTTTTATAAAATATGATTTGTATGAGGTAATTTACAAATGAGATCTAGAATTTACAGTTTTCTTTTGCGAAGAGAGTTTATGTGGACACCCGGTATATTCAAGTTTAGAAAAAGGTTGTCACATTTGATTCAATTTCAAGATAATATGAAATGATATAGGTACTATTCAATATTGAAAGTTTTGGGATATTCAATTTAGGCAAATGGCTGAATTAAAAACTGATTTTACTCTTGAATTTTAAATGGGACAACCCATATAATCTTTTTAAATATTTGTTATAGGTAATTTTTTAACTTTTATTTCTATAAAAATCTTTATACCTATTCCCGTAGTTTTCTTGATTCTTGAAGCGTATATTATTTTTTGTAAATATTTATACAGAGTGTGTCTACCTAACCTAAGTTGATGACGCAAAATGTGGATTAATTTATTATTAGTTTTATAAATAAAAAGTTATTCTTGTTAAAAATACAAATTGATAATCTAAAATAAAATTTGTAAAATATTTAGTAGTATACAGGGAACATAAGAATGATTTATTCATGCTGAAGTAAATTAAAATAGAGCAAAATAAGAATTAAAAATTTTGATAGGAATTTATTATTATATTATTATTATTTATAAAATACGGTCAAGTTAAAATTATTGCACTTTGTTTTTAATTAATCTCGATACACTCTATTCAATAATAATAATCCAACCAATACTTATTTTTGTATTTTACAAATTTGATTGATTATAAATTTCCAAGTAATACAGAACATTTTATAAAGAAACGAATAATAAATATTTCCAAGTGCAAACAACTTGTATGTAGACATACTGTTTAATGTATCTAAATCCCTGAATCAATTTTCATCAACTTTTTCTGATATGTGAATAAAAATTAACAATAAGTAAACATTTTTGCAGTCATTCATTTCTTTTAACCCTTTGTATAACAACTAATTTTCTAAAAGATATGCATGCATCAGTACCTAACACACTCATGATATACTCGATATATATAACTGACTTATCACGTATCATTATACAGGGTGTAACAAAAATATATACAGTAAATTTAACCACAGTTTCTAGGGTCGAAAATAAGTCGATTTAAGTTAACTTTCTTATAAAAAATTGACAGTAAAAAAGGTACAGGGTGTTAAAGTAGAAATTTTAGAAGTGATTTTGTGCTCTTACTCTAAAAAAAGGAGTTAAGGGCGTTAAAAATTGTTTTTAGAAGGGTTTCACGCCCCTTTGACCACCTACTTTTTTAGACAATTAAATTCAGTAAAAAAACAGGCAAGCATGGCTCCAAGCTGAATTTTTGGTGGGGGCCATGCTAATATATATATTTTTTAAGCTGGACACCAAATTTATTTTTATTAGCTCCTTTTTTTTGCTCGTCAACCCCAAATAAGGCGCATGTACAAACTACTAGAATACCTTATTTTTTTAGCTCCCCAAGTTCTACTTATTACTGTTACCTGGTAATAGTACCATTTTGCAAATAACATTTTGCATGTAGCATTTTGCATATATCATATATCACTTTGCATATAGTATATAGCATTTTGCGCATAGCATTTTTGCCAACTTTTAAAATGCTGACTCATGAATTGTAATAATTTTAACCTCGGAAAACCACGACGAATCGCTGTACATACGTTCACCCTAAATGAAAAACTTATCAATTTAGTAAAAATTTTATTCTATGGGAGATACGTGGCCTCTGGAGCTACCCTTAACAAAATGACGCTATTAAAATTGTATATCTGTATAAAAAAATTATTCATCTGTTCCCACATGGATATTAGCTTATCTACGAACCGACTACAAAACGAAAAAGTATGCCATTGCGTTCAACTGAACGAATATATTTCATATCCAATCTACCTAGTTAAAACACTGCAAAAGAATGAAATCCTCCAATCACAATTCGCATTTTGGTCACCCGGCTACTACTATTTTTTTTTAAATTTTATATAAGTGACAATTCTGCCAAACTAACTGTCTATTTTTAGATATTGAGATTAAATATAGGTAAAAATAAGTGATTCTTATGTTAAAATCGATAAATAATAGTATATATATTTATATTTTGTCCATATTTACAAATAAATCATAAATTTTATTCAAACTATATGAAACTAATTTAATTACGAGTATTAAAACTAGAATGATAAGTATGTCGATGAGGGCGAGGACAGGGAGTTTGGCTTCCATGCGAGAGGCGCCGGGTTCAAATCTGAGCTGGATACTAATTAAATTAAATATGTTTTATTTATTTTATTTTATAAATTAGTAAAAGTCATAAATTAATTTAAAATTAGTTATTTTGTTTTAATAACCTAAAATAACTTTTAAAATTTGTAGATATTCATTAGTGGGCCGTAGAAGAAATATACTGTACAACTCGAGTGGAGTTTTAATACCCACTCTTGTTACCACAGACTATTATTGTCTATTGGTATTTGTGAAATTGTGAAAGTCTTAATTACCGAGCTACAGTCCCCTGAAGAAAGAAAAAAATATTTGTTCACATTTTTTTTACTATTTTACAACTTCATGGATGATCCATAATACAAGGGAATAAATGTAAATGAAGTTGTACAATAGCAAAAAAAAATCGTAGACAAATATATAATGATTTAAGATCGATATAAAAATTTCATTTGGAATATTTTACACTATGACTTTCCTTCAGGGGCATATTACTCAGTTATTAATGCTTTCACAAACAAATATCTACCAAGAGACAACAAAAATTATAAACAGATGTAGGATTTCAGTGTCGTCTTGTTTTTAACTGAATTTCATTGTCTCAAAAAGTAGGAGGGTCAAAGAGGTGCAGAACTCTTCTAAAAACCTATAGAATTAAAACAATTTTAAACGTCACTGTACATGTACATTTTCAAAAAAATATGTTAAGCCGTTTTCGAGTAAGAACATAAACTCACTTCTTAAATTTTAATATCCATTTGTTATATAAAAGCTCAAATCGGCTTATTTTCGACTCCAGAAACCGTCGTTAAATTTACTGTTGTTACACCCTATAATCTCAACTTTATCAGATAACAAATACAACTAGATAAATGACTTTTATGATGTAAATGTCACTTTAATGATCTAAATGTCACTTTAATTTTGTAAATGTCACTTTTATGATGTTAAATGTCACTTTTATTATGTCAGACATCAAACGTCACTGACAATTTTCGAATACAATATTTTTAAGCGGAACTACATCCCACTTGGTACTTGCATTGATTGACCCCACTGGGTTTTTATATTATTGTTGTATAGTCATCTGGTAAAATGCACTAAAACTATTATTTACTATGTATATAGTCTAATTCATAAATTTTGTGCTGTTTGTACATGTCATTTTCTTTTATAGGTAATTTTAAAATATGGTAATTATTGTTATTTATTGAAAAGTGTCTAGTTATCAAAATGGCGATTTTAAAGGAAAATATTAAAATATTTATTTGTATGAATATTAGACGGTGTTCCAAATTATAATATTTACTAGAGTATATTAGTTTCAAACAGTATCAAAGTTGCATTTTTAAAATCAACTTATTTTATCTTAATAATGTTTAAAAATTAAAATTTGTAGATTTTCTATATTGGGTCGTAGAAAAAACATACTTTATAACGTAAGTGAATTGTTCGTATCGCACTTCGTCTTCGTGCGATATGGTGTTTACTTTTAAATTTCGGTGTTAAATATATATGGCCACAATACGATTGCGAAATTTTTACATAATCGGATTTGATATCCATCATTGGCGTGCTGTTCTAGAGGAAGAAATTCGGATCGGAAAAATCCGCCATCATCCTGACGGGCTAAATTTTAGAACCTCTGAAACACATTTCAAAATAGTTTTTTCCCTGCAAACGTTTAAAAAAATTTACCTTAAAATTTCCAAACGTGCCATCCATTTTGGATCTTAAAAAATGTGAATTAACTACACCATTTTGATTCATTTTTTGTTGTAAAAACTGATAAATAATTATATTAGACAATTAGATCACCCATTTATAGCAATAAACCATACAAAAAAATTCATAAATGTTTATAATTTCTTAGTTTTAGTTCTTAAAATAGTTGGAAGAAAAATAGGAAGGATTTTATATTAGAGGGATAATAGAGAGTTTTAACAAATGTACGTAAAATCTTCTCTAACGTTACATTAAACTTAGATTGTGACATTTTTCATAAATATTTTAAGGGGTAAATTACAGTATATCGCTAATATAACGTTAGCGGATTTATTACATCATTATAATGAATTCAATAAGATTAAAACACTTCATATAAACAAAACTTATCTTCAAATGAACAAAAATTTTTAGAAGGTAGAAGGTTATTTCCAGATTTTTAGAATTGTACCTAATCCACTATTTTAACATGTCGACTATCTTATAATAATTACCCATTTTATTTTTAATAAGTACTTTACGGTTATCCTTGTTTAGAAAATAATAAAATAATAGCTCACTTCTCTACCTTGGCTCATATACTATTTTTTTCACTACTAGCATTTTAATTAAAAAAAAATTAAGCTTTTAAAACTAATAAAAACGATTTCAAACTTTTTTTCAAATCAAATCATCCATGCTTGTGACAATTAAATGTAAAACACAAACGTCAGTTACCCATTTATTTATCGATTTATTTTTATTTGAAAACTCTTTTATATATTTATGAAAATGTGGAATGAAATCTGAAAGTGAATTGGTTTTATTTGAATAGTAGATATGACCATTAAATAAGTAAGTAAAATATTTTTACATTTTGTATTTGCATTTGAGCATTTCAGTTAACCTCAAAAACTGTCAAAATATGAACTGATATCATTTACATAAAATACAGTAGGTATATAGTTATCAGGTAGGCTCTGTAATTCTCTCCCTAGGTTTATAATGAACCACTTTTCTACCTGAAAATCAGTCAATAAAGTTAGCTTCTAAAGCTAGTAGTGAAAAAACTTAATTAATGACTCCGTTTTGAGGTGGAAGTGCAATTGTTAACATAATATTACAACTTGTTGGATGCTTTTTCGCTAATTTAATTTTTGGCGTCGATGTTGATATTTTCTAAATTGCAAGAATTATACAATTTTCCTACCAGTTTTACAAACTCTTCCAACCCGACAAGTATTGTCGAGTCGACAGCCTTTATCCTCCAGCTTCGATCAAATCTCTAGACACATACGGCCTGGAGACATTGAAGGTTACTTCGCAACTCGTGAACTTTTTTCAAAAATCCTCCGGATTTACTCAAATCTCTTTAGTACTCTGTAAGGCCTATACATATACAGCCCGAGGCCATTGCGAGTTGCTTTAACCTATGAACTTTTTTCAATCATCCGACTTCGCTCTGATTTCTCGGCTAGCAGTACGGCCTTCAATCCGTGAACTTTCTTCAAACAATTCTCAGCTACGCTGTACGGCCTAGACACAAACGGCATCAACCTGTGAACTTTTTTCACACATCCTCCGGCCTTGCTGATTTCTCGGCTACGCCTTATGGCATAGACACATACGACCTGGAGCTATTGGGGATCGCTTCCCAACCCGTGAACTTTTATTTAAACATCCCCAGCTTCACTCTGAGCTCTTGGCTACGCTTTACGGCCTAAACCATTGTCAAACAAACAACTTTCATTCAGTTCCTGTTATGTCTATGACCGGAATTTTTAATCGTATTTACGTCGAAACAATTAATAATGGTGTTTATTTTAACAAGAAAATATTGATTTATCCTTTCAATTAAGCATTTAGAAGAAAATTGGGATTAAAAAACCGTTTTTGATTAAATTTCCTGCCTATAGAATAACTACACAATAGGTTCTTTCGTTCGCTGTTGGTGAAGTGTCCACCAGTTACACCACCTTTTTTACCTAGTGTACTTCCTCCTTATTCCTGATGCACATGTTGAGTGCAATTCACTCCTTCTAAATAGCTGGTGGAGAAAGTGTCCACCAGTGGACACCACATCGCCGATAGGAAGGTGTAGTGGATTTTACAACGGGCCAAACGAAATATATGGTGTGCGTTGGTGTAGTTCACTCTTACACAAGTGGGACGAACGAAAGAATCTATTGTTACAATGGAGTCAAATATTTTTAAATAATTTGTATTTTCTTCTCGTAATGTGTAAATTACTTCAGTGGTTTGTATTTTTGTTCTAACTGCTTATTTGACGTTTGCGGACGTTTTTAAATTAGCTGAATCTGCTTTTACAAATCCAGGATTCATGTTAAATAATTACAAACGAGTCAGAAATAGAAATATAATACAGAATTAGGCATTCCAAACAAAATGGCTACCAGTGGGTTTTGACAGCTTATGATATGGCAACATTATGGCAACCCTGTAGGCTTGGTGATTTGACAGGGTCAATGGAATAGATAGTTATATAGATTGATCATTAATATTTTTTAAAATATAGCTGCCATTTTTATTTCTCATCTCACTCGGGAGCATTTATAATAACCATTTTCTGTTTCACATTGTTATTGTTCAATCCACAAGCTGGTGGATCAGACAACAACAAAGTGAAATAGAAAATGGTTGTTATAAATACTCCCGAGTGAGATGAAAAATAACCTGTCTTCGCCCATAGAGTCGCATCTCAAGCCTAGTGACAAGCATTCTACCCCACTTCAGTTCATTGGATGGGACTAATAGGAAAATAAAAGTAGACATTTGGCAACAAAATTTAAATTTTCTGAATTTATTGGTACACGTCACGGGACATAAGGGTCTTAAAATGTTCAACATTAACAATTATTTCTTCGGCCTTCAATGATATCTAAAGTAGTACTTTATAAGTGGTATAGTTTAAAATGGAATAAAAATATTGGACTGTTATAATCCATTATTATCATATTAGCTTTGTTCGCGTAGCCTGTCAACAGTCAGCGACATGTCTACGACAAATGAGCATGCGCATTTCGATTTTAAGTGTTCGTAGCTTTAATCAACGAAAAAATAATATTTCGTAGTTTTCTTCGAAATATTTGACGCTCATAAACTAAGAAATATGAAGTTATACGAAAAAAATTTCTATGGTTTATTGCTCTATCAATAATATAATATTGATACAACAAGAAATCAATTAAAATGATTTAATTCACATTTTTTATGGTTGAGACTGGACAACAAATTTTGAAGCTTTTAAAGAAATAAAAAAAATTGTAGTGCCAGTGGAGACATCTTTCAAAGTATCTAGAAGCTTTCTGTATAATTTAAATAGAATATCCGCCGTTCGGACGATGTCGTATATTACCAAAAACCCCTTACCTTGATTGAAAACTATTACCTATAAAAGAAAATTACGCCAACATTGAAATACACAATTTAAGAAAAAAATCGTTCGCAGCGAGGACTACTACGGAGACTTGGACTTGAAGAGCATCCGCAAGAGCGAACTGTTAGCAGGCCTACAGAGTAGCGGTTCGACGCGTACCACCCCCAACGTGCAGAAAAAACCCAGACCCGCCCCTGGTTCGCGTAACGCACCCGAACCCGCGAGCAACAACTAAATTTTTGTCATTTTTATTTTAATTTTAGAACAAAAAATACATTAAATGGAATTTTTCTTTGGTCGATACACGAACAAATCTGAAGGTGCCTGGCTAATTTTGGATCGTAATCAAATTTAAGCAGCAATATTCTTATGTCACCCTTTATAAGGGTTAAAAATTGCATCAATATCTAACAAAAAGGTTTTTTTAACGAAAAATAATGCACATCATTGGTGATAGTCACACAATTCTTCGGGTTCTACCATCATTTATCGCCAAACTCATATACATCACAAGTCAAATTTCAAAAAAAAAAAATTATATGTCTATTTTGGCTTTGGATTTGTTGTTTTAGAACACTTAAATAAAATAAACTTCAGAAAATTTCCATTTTTTTTTTAAATAAATTTCGAAATACGAATGAGAAATTTTGCGGCCCGTACTGTAAGTACTTATTTAATTTTTAGGAATAATTTTTTAGTAAACTGGGCCCAAAAAAACTCGTTCAGTATTTTTTGAATATGTTTGCTTCTGTGTTCGCAGAAAACTTATTAGAAATGTTTCGTCAAACGGTACAAAAATTTTACGATATTTTTTTATAAACATTAAATAAAAATCGTTTTTAAAAAAGTCAATTTTTTATTTTTTTAACCTTTACTGTCTAACCACTCTATCTAACAGCACCGCTGTGACAGTAGAGTAGATGGGGCATTATTCTTCTTTCTTTTGGTGGCAACTCTGTTAATGGTAAGGTATTTTTTTTCTTTTAATAGGTTTTGGTTTATCTAAATCCTGTATTATGTAAATAAAAAAACTAATGGAAATTAAAAATCATTTTCTTGGTATAGGTCATTCATAATCATTTAAATTATTTATAGTACTTAATACCTAAGTCGAGTGATTGATTAAAAAGTAATAATTAATGATAATACACATTTAACAAAATTTTTGATCTATTAGAATATTTCGGAAAATTGTTTTTATTTATATCATACTTTTAGAGAGTAGGTTTTATTTATGGTACCTACTATATAGTTACTATAGATTAATGTTTGAAAAGTTTGACAATAATCCAAATAAAATATTCATCTAGGCTAGAGAATCTATGCCAGAATAGATGATTTCATCGGAAGACATATTGCAGTTGCAAGAGCTTTGCGCCATCTATCAGTTTACATAGCAAGTAATAGAAGCAGGATTTTATTTTGAAGGAAACTGTAAATTATCGTTGTCTTCTTCTTTAGCTGTATGGGCTCAGTTTTTACTAGGACCATTGTATCTAGGACTATCTAGGGTCTACCTGGCTTACTAATAAGCGCGTGTTAGACCTCTTGTGGCTGATTTTTGTAAAAACGAAATACTGGCACTGGGTAGATAGTTCAAAAGTGAACCCATACAACAATAGAAGAAGACAGGGAAAAAAGAAAAGAGTGTGCTGACGCCGTAACCTTAGACAAGCTCTTGCAATGATCTTGCAACGGCAATATGTCTTCCTATTACTATGAATGTTCCAGGAATGTTCCAAATGTTTTTCGGTCGCGACCAATTGGAAATTTTTGGCCCTTTATTGGATGAGAAAATATATTATTGGGAGGCTCGAAACAAGCAATCATTAAGGTGATTACAGCACCCCTTATAATTTTCGAACAAGCATATCTCAAAAAGTGATTTTTTTTTAAATTAAAATTTTGGAAAAATCAATGAGGCAATAATATCTAAAATATGCATATATTTTAAAGTTTTAGTTCCTTCCAGTTTCCAAGAAAAAAAATCAAAGGGCTTTAAATTTTAAAATATCATAATGAAAATTGAAATGCGTCTCAAACAGCACTATTTTTAATATAATCCCCAAATTTAAGCTCTTAATCTCTTGTTAATGATTTTTTTAAATTCGCCGAAATTAGTGGCTAAAACGCCTCGTTAAGTGCTATTTTCTGGTTTAAACTGGTGTAAACTGGTGTAAATCATTGCAAGAAACGAATGATGACTCAGAGTGTACGATACGATAGTTACAGTCGCGTTACACCAGAAAGCAGCACTTAACGAGGCGTTTTAGCCACTAATTTCGGCGAATTTTAAAAAATCATTAACAAAAGATTAAGATCTTAAATTTGTGTATTATATTAAGAATACTGCTGTTGAGGAATGCATTTATTTTCATTATGATATTTCAAAATTTAAAGCCCTTTGATTTTTTTTCTTGGAAACTGAAAATAATTAAAACTTTAAAATATAAGCATATTCTAGATATTATTGCCTAATTTATTTTGCCAAAATTTTAACTTTTAAAAAAAATTACTTTTTGAGATATGCTTGTCCGAAAATTATAAGGGGGTGCTGTACTCACAAGGCAAATAATGTTTCGAACAGTTAAAGACTGACCGCCAGTTAAATAAATTGATTGCAATTATGTAATAGGTGTACATTTTCTCAGAAATTTTAAATATAAATTATTGGCAACCATTAACGGTAAGATCTTTTAAAGATTTGTTACTTAAAAGATCAATACTGACTTAACTATGGCACCATCTTATAGAAATAAATCAAACTTTTCAAACAACTCTTTGATAATACAAAATATTATTACATTTTCAAACCTCGTGTGAACTTGTTTTGAAAATGTCATTTCCACTTAAAACGGTTATTTAAACATTATTTTTTTTTATTTTTTAGCGAAGACTATTATAAAGATGTTGACCTCAAGGCACTGAAGAAATTGGGCTACTAAAATGAATATCAAATGACTGAAAATGAAGAAATCCAACTGTTTTATCTTTAAATTATGAACGCCCAAAAGTTTCGGCCAATCACTAGGTTGATTTAATTTTAAGATGCGCCTGCTGTAGTGTTATTTTTGGTAGAATAGATATCCTCATTCCTCATTTTTGTAAATATATTATGGAAATTTAGTATTTTAAATAGACTAGTATTTAGATAGATATAAGCCATTTGGGAGAGATGTAAATATTTAAAACTTTTTTTATTGTTGTAGTTTGTTGTTTTCATATTTAAATGTTATAATTAAAAAAAAAAATAAGCAATACAATAATTTTCCTTCTTCCTCTTACTACACTTTCTTACTTTCTTCGTCTTTTTTCAAAATCTATAACAATTTGGAGAATTAGAATGTTATTAGAATTACTATTCATTAGTTCATTACTAATTTAAATACAAAGCTACTTATGAAAATTTCATATTTTTGTCTTTTAAGTACCTATAACTTTTAACCATTACTAAAAGATACCTACTTTCTAAATTTAATAGGTATACATCAACAAAGAGAATATCTAGTCAAAATTTGATTTTAATTCGTCATAATATAAACTATTATGTCCGAATAGCCTTGATTTCTCTTTTAATTTTAATTGTTTGTCTACCTAATGACCAAACTATTTATTTTTTTATAATTTCTACAAAACAAAGTAATTTTTTTACTATTTTAAACTATATAATTTAATATGCATTCAAAGTTTTTTTAAATATTTTTTCTTCTTATTTCATCTGTTTTTTTTTTCTTTACTATCATTCTCTTTCTCTTGGCATCATTTTATCCCCGTTTTACCTAGTTTCTAGATCTGCATTATTTTCTCTATTAGTTTTATTCTATCGAGTTTGCACCGAATCTCTAGCTATGCAGATTTTGTATATGTTTTTTTATTTTATATTCTTTCTTATTTTTTTTAATATCTTCTTGGTCTCCTTTTTTTTATTTATTTGCCTATCACCTTAACTTTTTATTTTCTCCATCATGCTATACTCATACTAATTTGCCACCTACTTTTCTAATATTTCTGGAATGTTATATATCTAGTTCTGAGCTTTATTTTTGCTTTCTTTCAATTTTTTTTCTACTCTTATTTTTATACTTTTGCTCCAGTTTTTGAGATAATATTGTACATTATTTTTTACTTAGAAGTACTTTCTTTTATATAAGTTATAAACTTTTTTCTAACCTGTTTTTACAATATTTTTTAATAATTATATAAAAAGTATTTTAATTCCTATTTATGCTATTACCTCTTTTTAATATAAGTTTAATAATAATTATGCTTCTTTTCGTCAATTATAATATATGGCAATCTGTTATGTTACTATTTTCCTTTTCAAATTTGACCACTCTCTGTCTATTCTCATAGCGTGTTTTGTTTAATTTTTCATGTTATATTTAAAATTGTTGAGTTATATACATAATAAAATATAAACAATTATTGGTGTGTTATTATTTATTTTTGTCTTCATACGGTAGTCTGTGAAGAGTATTATAGGATTACTTTTGAGGAAGCAACATTTTTAATATGGATCAAAATTTTTAATATGGATCAAAATTTAAAAATTTTTATACCAAAATCCTTCTCATCAAATTTTAAAATTTTCCGTCCTGTCCGATGTCACGTTTTTCGTCCGCACGATAAGTTAAAAACGATATAAATGATATCAACTTAAAATTGTCAGGAAAATCAAACTCTATAAGGGGACGAAGCCTATAAATAAAAATAAGGGGGTTAAGAGGATTTGAAATTAAAAAAAAAAATCATAATAACAAACGATAAGCGATATTAGCATGCTATAAGGCGATGAGCCTATTGATTCTGAAAAAAAATTAATAAAAATGGGAAGTTTAAGATGGTAGAAATTAAAAAAAAAATAGAAAGCAAAAATGAAAAGCGATATCAACATAAAATTTTTAGTAAAAATCAAGCTATAAAGGGATGAAGCTTATTAATTCTGACAAAAAATCTGAATAAAAATGGATGGGTTAAGAGAAGTTGAAATATTAAAAACCCAAGCAGCAAGGTGCGGTGTCATTATGACGTGATTTTGTGGGATTTACTTGTCAGACACGTTTTGATGTCATTTTTGCAAAGTTAATTTGACGTCAATACAGACTCGTCATTATGACGTAATTTTTTAGTACTTATCCGAAATACAATATCCTAAAACCAGTAACGTGTATTTGACGTCCACATACTTTGATTTTCTTTTACTATACGGAGAATGGTCGCACTGCGCAGCTTTTTGAGTGCCTTTTAAAAGAAGATAGAAAACTCCGCCATTTTGAACCCTTATTACGTGTTGCCTACATCTTGGCGCAATATTGTTAATAGTTGCGTTTTAATTATCCTCTTCTCCTTCGGAATTGTCGGTTTTCTTGTTTTAATCTGACAGGTTAAAACGACTAAACCGACAATTCCGGAAGCAGAAGCGATGATTAAAACGCACCTGATATTTTGCTTGCTGCTGTCAGTGTCAGTGAATATTATTTTTGAAGTCACAGTTTATTGCTAAAGAATCAGTTAGCTCACTCGGACCAGTTGAAAGTTCCAAAATAACATCCACTCCAGGGATACAAATTCAGGATACGCAGAAGACAGCTGTTTTATTATAGGCGGTTGTCATATATTGTATTATCCGAGTTGCACAGTGTATAAACTGAAACATTGAGATCCAAAGTTCCGACGCAGAGTGAGCGATCTGATTCTTTAGCTGTAAACTGTGCCACAGGGTTCAAAATGGCCGCGCCCTATGTTGGGCGTGTCGGACCTCTCTCTTGCCTCGTATAGTAATTAAAGTATGTGTTGACGTCGCATTGATGACATAGAATAGACGTCACTTAGAATTCATCATAATTACGTTATTTTTTCGTATAATTTAATACTTAAGTGTTAAATTGGAAAGCTGTTCAAACTGAAAACACGTATATATTAAGTTTGTTCGAGCTGCAGTTTGTAAATTTTTTTGGTAAAATTACGGTGTCTTATGTTTTGATATGGATAATTAGTAACGTTCCGTTTTCTAACATTAATCATTCAAGATTTTGTCGCCTGTCTCTTTTTAATGTATAGCTAACCCAATTTGGATGTCCTCGAATCTCAAATGGCAATGAGTTTTGCTAATCTAGTACAATTGTACTAGATGTTTTAGAAAAAGGTAAAAAATAGAATGCGACAAAATAATAAAGTATATTAAACCGAATTTGGTATTTTACAGATGTATTGCATTGTTGAGTTTGAAAAACCGGATGATGACGGTCTGGCGGTTTTCAGGTGAGCAAAAAATGGCTGACGCCACGTAAAAAACAAGTCTTTTGGCCGCCTTTATAAAGAAATAAATAAAGAAATATAATATAAGACCGGTGAGTAATGTTATATTTTTATTTTTTGATTATGGGTTCTTTGTAGGGGGTCACTTGATTTAGATACCTTTTATCATCTCACAGAATATATGATCTTTTTTTTTATTAACTTTTTATTATAAACTCAGACTATATGTATACCTCTGAGAAGGTAGTTTTTGGGGCTACTACCTAAATCTGCGGTGAAGTAATCCCTCAGATTTTACAACTTGATACACAATTTACTTTCTATCTTTGATAATTTTCAGTGGTCTGTATTTTAATAGTTCTTTTATTTTAGATGATAATGATAAGTGATGAACCAAATTAAAAAAAGTTGAAGTTACCTCAGATCTACATTTCGAGGCTGATAAAGTACGTACTAAAAGAAAACAGGTGCCAACTAGGAAGCTCTGTCATTTGATGATACTGAAGATGATGAAATCGTAAAGCATGCTCGCCCACCCCCAATTAAAATTAAATCTACAATTTTAGGTACGTAGTGTCAGTTCCTCTAATATTCTTTGTTATTTTATTCCTTCTGGTTTCTTACCCATGACTTTTATATTTACCAGTATAATTTATTTTTTATAATATATTTTTGTGTTTTTTGGATTAAATAAATAACTTTCATCTGCTTAGTATTTTTAATAATTCCATCCAACATTGGGACACCCAGTAGGTATAGACGTCACTTTGACGTTAGGTAGATTCGTGATAAATACGTTATTTTGTGTAGCCTAGGACACCCGATATACACGTTACTTTAACGTGATATCGATTCGTCAAAATAACGATATGGAATGCTGTGACATTCTCGTTACCATAACGTTATTTTTACGTCATCAAATGACGTAACGCATGATGTTGCATGAGAAAGAAATCCTGATAAATTGTGAAGAGTATAATATAGAATGTCGAGCATTATATATCTTCTTTCTATACTCTGTTTTTAAACTAGGAGGAGCGAATTGAAAAGACGCATTTACACAGGGAAAAGTAACTAGATTTGTTACTAAGAGCGAGTTTCGAAATATAGTCGTGTTCAAAATTTATGAAATAATTATCTTTATCGGCCTTAGTCGGTGAACGGCCAATGAGCGGTTAAGAAACGAATAAATGTCATAGAAGTAATTTTTTAATTGGTCCCAGACAACGGTCGCAAATTTCACATTATTGTGATCTGAAATGTGTCTAAAACGAAATGTCAGTCAAATTAAAGTCAATATGGTTGTCGATTGATGCCAGAAATACTTTTTTCTTGCTTTTGAAATCGACTTTTTGAGAATAACTATGATCTTTTAAAAATGGATATTAAATATTTAAGAAAATTGTTAATGGAATATACAGATGTAGCCAGGTTAGTATAAAATATAAAGATCTGTTTACATTTTTAAGGATATATTTGTTATAGGTATAAAAAGTAAAAGTTAATCAGTGAATGACAAGTGGATCACACAGTAACTGGTATCTCTTCTATGAGTAATGTGGATATTATGGCTTATTTAGTGTTAACCCATGGTTAATGCGCTGGAGGGCAAATAAAGGCATTCAACAGTTTACAGGCCTATGAGTCAGAATTTGTTTTGAAAACTGGAACCAACATTTTCATAACACTACATGTCAACATATATTTTTTAAAGTGAACTATTCATACATGCCTATGTATTAATTTTAAGTATTTTTAAAATAATTTTTGTGAAAGTAATGTTAAGTCATTGGGCCAAATTAAGATTATCCCTAAACTAGTAGATGGTGTTTTAAATGTTATAACAATTTTGTAAATAGTTTTATTCTAATAAATAAAATTTGCTTGAATATTTAGTTACATTTTAATCATTTTGGTTAGAAATTCATCAATATTTAGTTTTAAAAAATCAATAATGCATTTTCTGCAAAACCTTCAGAATCAGCATGTAAAATAATAAGGTGTCTTCCCTTTCTTGTAAGGCTTTTCAGGAATTGCTACCTTTAATAGTACTCAGTGTAGAAGGATCCATAATTGTAGATTTTCAATACAATTGCTTACTGAAGAACTATTATTTACGAAATAAAGTAAAAAACTAAGTAATGGATGAGATATCAAATTATAAAATGTCAGAACTGTCAACAATATCAATTATTAGCTGATGTTCATGCTAAAAAGTAATGTGTAAAACTGACTGTAATCTGACCAATCAGAAGGCTACAGGATTGCCAACTTAAATTCAAATCGCTCCTCTTAGTTTAAAAACAGAGTATAGTTTGTTTATTATGTTTCATAAACACATTCTTAATACCGACGGCACTACGGATTCTAACTCCCGCTAATTTATTAACATGTTATTGTTGTATGATACATAAAAGAAGAGCAAATGTTGTCGAACTAAATCATTAATTTTCAATCATTTTAAATAATCAAATATTATTAAACAACCAGAAACAATTTTTAAAGCTTCGTAGCAAAATAAGGATACTAAATTTGAAGGATCACAATAAGTGTCAAAATATTAAAAACTGTCATTGACTACCTACCTACTAAAAAAATGGATTACAAAAGAAACTAATACATTTTTCATAAAAAAAATATATTTTTAGTGAAAAATAGAAACGTTATTAAATGATTACGCCCATAGAGCTATATCCATCGATAGGGCCAAAGGTACACTGACTGCAAAACGTCAACCTCCGGGTGTTGATACTTGATGTGTAACGCACTTGGTACATTAATAGCTATTAACATTCACTTCTACTTGTTAATCGGTTTTTCTTGAAAGTTAATTCATGCAGTATATGTATCCTGCTTAAAATTATTTTAACAATAACTAAAAAACTCAAAACCTCTATGTCACAATCAATAAAGAAGAATAATAAAGATCCTTAGAGCAAACTTACTGACTTCGAGCAAATAAGATTTGGAAAAAATTCGTTTACGTTACGGGACCAAGGTATTTCCAAATAAGTTCAGAAATAGGATGGATAGTAAAGATACGTTTGCCAACATTACACTGTTGCTGACCTGGAGAAATATAATTTAGTTGAGAAGAACGCAGAAGATATTTTTTTTGCTCTTCATATTTCAAATCCTCCATCTGCTGATTCGAATGACCCAGTGTTGCCCTCAGCTGCGTTTATTTCTGTTTTGCAGCGCCACCCGGAAAATATTAATCTAAACCCAGAGCCCGGAGAATGATCGCCAAATCCGGAGACTCCGGATCAAAATGTAAGTAAATATATATGTATTTCTCTCATTACCTGGTCAATTTTCTGTATCTCCAATGAGCTTGCTCCACCTCTGCCTTTTCCTGCCACGTATGTCTAACCGAGACGAACATATACCTACCCCTAGCAGACGAAGTGAAATGGAACATCAAAATCCTTGTAGAAATTTGCCATATTTTACGTCTATATACTTCCTTCTCTGTCTTTTGACGTTTAAAGCTCACGATAAACAAAGAACATATTTTTAGCTGTGTTGCCAGATCGTATAAAAACTATTATCTGTAAAAAAATTTATTAAATACAAAAAAATTGAAAATTGAAAAAAATTGTGTTCTACAAACTTGTAAGAAGATAGATTGTATATTTATTGTATATATATATAACAGCCGCAATTAAATAAACCAGGAAGGTATTCTTTTTCCAAAGAAAGTATTACAGTTTTATTTAAAATCGACTATTTTAAAGGTTGCTGTTAAAAGTAGTTACCTTCAAATTATTTCCTCTTGCAACAAAAATTAATCTCAATCGCTTTTCCTCACAAAAAAATGAAATGTCAAAATCTGGGGATTTTAATGATTTGTTATCGGCAACACTGAACATCACCTAGGCGAAATGAAATGTAGTAATTAGAAAATAAGTGATTGTGATATTTTTTGTGAAAAATTAACTTTATTATCATTATTGTTTGTCTTGTATTCAAGATTTGTTACATATGTGTGCTAGTTTCTGTTGCCAAGTGGCTTGTGAATTTTATTTTGTGGCATACAACCTTTTAAAACCAGAACAAGTAGGGGTGAATAGTCGATTAGCATGAAGGGAATCAAGATCAATGCTGAAAGCTGAAAGTTCTAACATATGTTTTGATAAATAATTGTAAACATAGGTAAGTTTGACTGTTACTCAACAATTATGAAGTAAATATTAGTATTGAAAACCTTATCTGAACTGGTGACGTCGTCGCAACCTCCGAATGATTTATCAGTTAGCCTACGTTTTGAGTTTTCCCATGAAAATCCCCCTGTAATGACACTTTCAAATCTCTTAGTTTTTTCTTTGTTAATAAACCATTGAACAAGTTCATTGAAATAATAAATTGAACATTTGACTAAATTAACTATGACAATAGCTAAATGTTAGGTTAGGTTAGGACCATTGTCAAAAAGAATGTTTTTCATTTAAGGTAAATCATGTCTTGGATGAAAAGAAGGGGTCCTAATAGCGCTAGTCCGGCTCCAGCACCTACTGTCCCTATGTACAACCCCAATCAACATTCCAATATACAAGAGGTAAGTGAAATATAGATTTTATTCAATATAATCTCAAGATCTTAATACTTATTTCCTAAATTCATTAATAATAAAAATATACAATTGTTATTGTTAACTGTTTTTTTTTTTAATAGCTTGATCTCAATTTTTGCTAATTATATTAAAAATAATAAATGGATCTTCTCATATCCAGGCAGGCTGGCAGGCGAGGATCAATGTTTTTTTCTGACAGGTGTAACAACAGATAGAGAGATTAGAGGTTCTTTCGTTCGTCCCACTGATGTAGGAATAAACTACACTAATGGACACTAAACCTTTTCGTTTGGCCCAGTGTAAAACTCACTATACCTTCCAATCGGTGATGTGGTGTCCACTGGTGGATATTTTCTCCATCAACTATTTAGCAGGAGTGAATTACACTCGACATGTGTATAAGGAATAAGGAGGAAATAAATTAGGGTAAATAATGTGGTGTAACTGGTGTAATTTACACTGGTGAACACTGCACCAACAGCGAACGAAAGAACCTTAGGTATTTTGCTAAAAATGTTGTGGTGGCTAACCTGTTTGTATGTGTCTACTTGGCCAATACCATGTTTAATATTTAGAAATAGATATAAGAAATATTTTATTCTCAGTAATACATACATAAACATGTTTACATAGTCGTCAGTACACATAAATGGTAAAATACATCACATTTTACATACATTAACTTACAGCATACTCATATAAAATTTAAAATAAAATAGGATTTTAAAAGATCATGGTTGGTAATAGTAATAAAAAATATATAAAAAAAATACAATATTAAAAATATTAGGTGACATGTTTCACTCTTACAAAATAATCATTAGTGTTATATAGACACATGTCCAGTAATATCTTTTTAATTTGATCTTTAAACTTTTTTCTGGTAGATTACAGATGTGGGGCAGAAGTGCATTATAGAATGAAATGCCTATTGTTCGGACTTGTTTATTCTAGTTCTCGTTTGGATTAGCTGATTTTTCCCTCTGGTGTCATATGTATGATTGTGTGAGTGACATGTGAAGTTTCCCAAATTATTTTTTATGACTAACAAGTTTTCAAATACTATTTGCGAAAAAAGGGTCATTATAAGTTGCTTAAATAGTGGTCGGCATGGTTCATAATAATTTACCTGCAGAATAGAGCAGACTGCTGATTTTTACAAGATAAAAGGTCTTTGTAGTGAAGTGAAGCTAGCATTTCCCCAAGTTAGAATCTCATATGTTAAATTGTTAAATAAGCCATAATAAGTAGTTATTGCTGCTTCTATATTAACTATATTTGATATTCTACATAGAGCAAACTTGAATTTTGCAAACTTGAATTTTGTCAACTTGTTGCATAAGTTATTTATTTGATAGTTCCATGTTTCAGTTTTATTGTGATTTAAAAATAATTCGTTACTATCAAACCATTGTTTAGCTTTAGTCATAATCTTAGAGTTTTTGATAACTATGTCAGATGTGTTATTGCAGTGATATGAGAAATTTGTATCATCTGCATACATGGTAGTTAGTAATTTGGCATTATTTGAATTCATATATGATGGAAGATCATTGGTATATGTTAAAAATAATAGAGGGCCTAGTACGGATCCTTGTGGAACACCTCTTTTCATTAATAATGGTATGCTAAGTTTATTTCTGTAATATACACTTTGTTGTCTGTTTTGCAAATAAGAAGCAATCATCTTATTTGCAATGCCTCTAATGTCATATTTATGTGTTTGTTGATTAACAATGTGTCACTTACACAGTCAAATGCTTTAGACAGATCAGTGAATACAGTTATGTATTGTGATTTGTTTTCTAAAGACTCCTGAATGTTATTTATTAAAGCCAGCATGGCATCTGTAGTTGTTCTCCCATGTATTTTAGAAAAACATGGTAAAATATGTATTTGGCGAAAATTTTCAGGTACTGAGTCATCTCCTTTTTTGTGACATGGTAGAAGGAGAACTTTGGACGTTTTAAAAATATCTGGAAAGGTACCTTCAGCTAAACAACAGTTTATCAATTCAGTAATAGGAACAATATTTTGGGCGCAGTTTTTTAAAAAATGGGTATTAATTTCATATATATCTTGAGTTCTTTTTGATTTAATGTTTTATATTATATTGAAGGTTTAGCGTAGGTTCGTTAAATTAATTGAATAATTGAACCATAAAAGCTGATTTTTAATCAAAGGAAGCTTTTATTTAAAGTTTCCTTAAAAAATCATTTCTTAATAGGTTTCCTCACATGCATTAACAAAAGTTTGTCATGTTGGATTTGCTGATTACTAACATTTATCGAAATCTTAGCCACAAAAATGTTAGGTTTATTTTGTATCTTGTATGATACATGTAGGATGCAAAATGATACCGTACACATTTCAATATGCTAAAGCTAACAAATATAGAGAAAATAATAGGCCAATATAACTCTTACATGTTATATTTCATTTAAATTGATAAATGATCGACACCACTAACTACAAAGCCCTAAGTTAAAAATGAAAAATATTGAAATATGATATACAATTTATGAGTTAATTAATGATTAAATTTTCTACTTTTCAAGTTTATACGTTTGCTGATTAAGAGGGTTCTATACCCGTCCGCCATATTCGCTCCGTGCGCGACAGCAGCGCTAATTAGTTTTGGTACTAATGGACTATTTCTGTGTGTACTGACAAATACAATTTTTAATAGAATTCGTAATTTAAAAGTATATATGTTAGTTTTAATAAAAGTATATGGATTTGTAAAACAAGTAAAACATTAATTTGTTATTATTATATATTTTTATTGCTTAAATTAAAGAAAATTATGTATAATCTATTAAAATCAATAATAAAATATAGGCAGGCAATAGTATTTACTGGAAAATGTATGAGAAGTTGCCTAAGTCTAATAAGTTGTCATTGAAGGATTAGTCTATTCTGTCAAAATAAAAAAAAATACCATTTAATAATAGCGTGAAGTTAAAATATATAAAACAAGGATCGTTATTTATATTTTCATTTTTGTTCGAAAGAAAACAGAATGAATGATTAAAGCTGGTTTCCCATCAGTAAGTTACAAAATTGCATTCCAGCCACATATAAGAATCAAAGGCAGAAATCTTGAAATCTAATCCTTGCTGAATGAACATTTCAGAATAAAGGGATATTAAAGAACATTGTAAAATGATAATTTATTGTTTATTTAAAACCTTTCAAGTTTCTGATGTCTACTATTTCCAGCATTACTGTTATTATTACAAAAATAAAGGTAATTTTTCTTCTTATTGTACACCTATCCATTTATTTCTTTGATTTAATTTCTACTTTGCTACTGAAATTTTTTATATAAGTTTCACAGTATTTTTTTTTCTAGTATTTGTACAATTTTCAACACAGCAACTCCGGTTGCTTATTGTATTGTTTTTACCTACTTTTTTTGAAAAAAAGTAAAATGTATACGTGTATTTGATATGCCAAAATTACAAAATATCGCCCTAAAATGCACGAATTATCCGCAGCAAGCGCTAGTATCGCTTTTCCTTCCCTTTCCATGACTTCGCACGGAGCGAATAGGAAATGTTAATGTTCAAATTACGGGTTTAATACTCACAAAAAAAAATCTTTTTTGTATCCGAGCTTCTTATGCATCGTAGATTGGCGCATGATAACTTTTTTTTATAAACACAAAAAAAAATAAAATGAAAAAAATATAAAAAAAAGTCATACACGTATAAATGTTACCATTCGCCATTCTTCTTTTGCCACTGAACAACTTGTGTATTTACCATTTTTGAAAAAGTAAGTAGTTTTTTCTAAAATTGAACATTGCTTAAAAACTTCAGAGGGCACCGGGAGGTGATGCCCCCAACGGTCCTCTTTTATGTTTGGATACCATGATAATCAATATTTTCCATGCCAGATGGCGCACCAGTCGCAAAAAGTATGTTCATTTGTCTAAACCAATAAATATTAGAGTTATCTTCCGATCTATTTATAGAACGGCAAACAACAGGATACACAGACTAATGGTATGTTCCTGCACATGCAGCTGACTGACGGTGACGTCACGTGGAACATAGAATTGTTAGTATTAAATGGGAGATAGTGTTTGAAATTCGATATTTCGCCGGTTTTAGATTTTATGCAGTTACTTAAGCTTTATTGGTTATTTTGTAATATATTCGTTTATAAATATTAAAGTTTAAGGTAAATAATACTAATAAAAATATTAATTTTTCTCATAAATTATAGGTATTTTGTGACAAAATCCATAACCTGGCGATAAGATAAATAAAAAATATAGACTAAAAATATAAGTGACTGAAATGTGTACTTTCTGGGCGTGGTAGTTCTCTTTAAATTTATTTTATTCTTATTATGTGAAATAAAATAAGTATCCAGTAACAAATTATTTATTTATAAATAGTAAATACACAAAAAATAATTTTTTATTTGGTAAATTTAAACATTTTTTTGTCAAGTTTACTTTGAAAATACTCAAAACTAATTTTTCTATTCATGTATCTTATTCTTATATATGTTCCTGTCCTGCTCTTGAAAAGGGACCGTTGTAATGGGACAGGAAACTACTGTTTTATCTACTAAAATTTTAAAATACCTATTTTATTTGCTTAATGAGGCCCCATGCACCTGGTGGATTTCAGTTTTCTTCTCTTGCGTCTATGTTTACTACTTTCCTCAAAGTGGATAGCAACTTCATGCTAAAATAAGAAGTTGAAATTAAGTTTGTCCTTTTTTCAATAAGAATTTACCCACATTTTGTGGCATTCGAAAATATCTTACATTACACTATTTTTGGATTTAGCATTATGGTTTTTGCAGCCCGGCAATTTAAATATTAATTCAGTTCTTCGCTATGATATATAGGAAAATATAGTCACTACTAACACAAAAACAAATAAATTGTAACATTATTGTACACTATTCCATTAAAAAGTGTCAAAATATGGCGAAGACGCCTTACGTAAGGCGTCTTCGCCATAATCCCCCCATTAAAGAAATTGTTAGGCCGCCTGAAATACATTTCTGTGCATTTGTGGTTGCATAGTCTACCAATTCTCGGATAAGAACATCTAGACGTAGCATTTTCGGCCGTTGATGACTGACATAATTAGATTTATATACATATATAACCGATTTTTCTTTAATAAGTTTAACACGGTTAACGTTTAACACTTAGACGTGGATTTCGAGGTTATGTATAAAATTGACGGAGCTGATGAGTATAGAACCCTCTTAAAGAAAAATAAATCCAGAACAATCTGCCAAAGGTTATTTCCTTTATATAAAATCTACTAAAAGTATAAGTTTTAGAGTGTCCACTAATAAATCAAAAGTTCAAAATAATTTTTACTAAGTAGAGCAAAATTATATGTACAGTTATCTTAATCTTAAATAAAATTGCATGTTTTTCACATTTATGTATTAAAATGTTCAAATTGATATTCAAACAAAGATCAGGTTATGGTTAAGGTCATGGCCATCTAGTGGATAAAAACCTTAATTTCTGTAATTAATATTCTAAATAACAAAACTTGTTCAGATTTAATGAATTACAATAACTAAGAAAATTTGATATTCACTTTTTAAATCTACAAATACTATCCTATTTATTTATTTTTGAAGTAATGAAGTCGCCTTAGAACTAAAAAAAAACCACATAAGTCTAAAAATTTATTTTATTAAAATTTGATAAACTAAAAATAATTTCCTTTACTTCTTCTTGGTCTGATTGGCTACATCTTCTATTGCCCTCTTGACCGTTTCTGGGTCTCCCAAGAAACGCATGGTGCCTATAGGTTTGAACAATCCATCTAATTTGTACTGAAACGGGATACCGGTCGGAAGGTTCAAGTTCATGATTTGCTCTGCTGTCATTCTTTCCAGGTTCTTTACAATACCTCTTAGACTGTTACCGTGCGCTGCTATCATTATACTTTTTCCTGCCTACAATTTTTGTTAGAATCAAATTTATAAAATTTTAGGTATACACGGTGTTTCATTTGGAAATGCGAACACCCAATGTTGAGTACTAAAACGCAAAATGCTTTTTCTCTCTAAAATTTTGAAAATCTGAAAATTTAGCACATAACTTACCTTCAATTGTGGTATAATGACATCATACCAAAAAGGCATAGACCGTTCAATGCAAAGCTTCAAAGATTCGGTCTTTGGAAATCTCTCTTTCGGCGGACCGTTATTGTATATAGGATCATTTACAATTGCATCATAATATGGATGCTCTTCTGTCATTTCAGGTGGTGGTGTGTCAAAACTTCTTCTCCATATTGCTACTTGTTCTTCACCGAAAGTCTCTACTGCTTCTAGTTTATTCTGACCTAAAATTAACACAAATGATTTACACTGTATCTACTTGAATTGACTGCATAATATGGAAAAGAGCTATAACCTGTGAGTCCCCCGTAATGTCTTTCGTTCAACCTCCATGTCGTGTGAATAGGAATAGTTGACTGGTTGGATTCTAATAAAATATGACGCAAGGTGTCTTGAGACCGTTTCAAAACCGACGCATATGCCACGTCAAATTTTAGGTTCTCGTCTCTGATGGCTATACCGGCCTTTTTAGCTTCTAAGTGGCCTTTTCTGCTTAGATTCGCATTGAACCAGCCGCAAAAGAGGTTCTTTTCGTTCCATTCGGACTCCCCGTGACGGCACATGGTGATCGTGTACTCGGCCGAGTTCGCTTTTTCGATGCATTTGGCTTTAACCTAAAACAATAAAGTGTTTCAGTCGCGTATATTGTAGTAGTACTACTATAATAGCTATTTCTGTATTAAGATCAGAAAGTAGCACTTTGGCAGTTGAGACAGAAAGTTGCCGCGCGATGCGTAAGCGTGGCGCGGCAATATCTGGAGGTGTATTTGAAAAATCGGTATCGCCTCCATCTATAATTTTTCTGATTTTAAAAGTATAATAAAATATTAATTCAATTAATTGTGGAGCACATGAAATTATCTACAAAGTTTCAGTAACAATAAACTACATCGACCTACTTGATTCCTATGTTGTTTGTATGTTGTGTTGCCTACCTATTACTATGTACGAGTATACAGGTAATTTTAGTACGTTGGTTATTATTTATGATTTAATAATTTAATTATGCACGGAAAATACTGTTGGATCATTTAAAATATTAGGAAGTCAATTAACCTTGCAACGCTACGCCACTTTATACAAGAGCTGGTATCCCACAATCGTTATAGACACAGCTGAAATGGCTGAAATTAGTTGGATTGCAGTAGCAATTAAGCAAGCAGGTCAGACTACGGTAACAATTGAAGGTATGACAGTTGGGGAGATGGTGAGAATGTTGTAAAATCGTAGGTTTCTGAATCCATATACAAAGCGAAACAAAAGTCTGTAAACGCATAATTATTTCGTAAATGTGTAGTCCGAATTTGCGATAAGCCTATTTTGTTACAAGGAGATTCCTATTTTGACATTTGCAATATTGCCAGATTTACCGATTTTCTGATATTATCTTCATCTTTGTCAGTTATAAGCAGGTAGGGGTTAGGTTTGGCCCACAACACTGCGGCCTCTTGGATCTATTGTATTCCCCTGCTTTCTTCGTATCCCTGTACTATATTCGGTTAGTTTTAATAAGTTCCCTACCAAGTGTTCCTGGGGTATTCTTTCCGGTTCTAGGCCGAAAAGGATGAGACGCCGCTTAGTAAGAGCTTTGCATTCGAAGATCACATGGTAAGAGGTTTCCTCCTATTCCATGCAGAGTCTACACGTAGTGGGATCATTGTGCTGATATTATTAGTAACATTGGTTTTTTAAAATACATCGCCCTGTATGTTGTGTCATTTTTGACATCTCCTCTTCAATACGAGTTCAAATGTTATGGTATTATTGGCAATGTATACTTGAGGTTTTAAAATTATCTTCAAAACAGATTTCTAGTGAAATATCTGTAATATCAGGTGTTCCACAGGGCAGTGATTTGGGACCTCTTTTATTTATTTTGTATATCAACGATATCAATCTTATTAACTGTGAAATTGTGAATTGTTGAAGATCTTTGCTGATGATACAATAGTAGCTGTTAGTGATCATAATTTGGAAAGAGCAATAACTAAAATGAATCATATACTTGAAAAAATAGTACAGTTTCTAGATTTAAACCAATTAAAACTAAATGTTAGCAAAATTAAAACTATGATAGTATACAACCAAATTGATTTAAATAATATTGACATCTTAATAAATTGGATATTGTTGAAGAGATAAAATACTGTCGATTCTGCAGCGTGGAGGACGAGTCTGCAGAGCACATTTTATGTACCTGGAAAGAACCAAGTATACCAAGGTATACCAATATACACCAATAAATTTAATGATATCTACATTAGACTGGCTCTCAGTTAGGGATAGACTTTTTATGTTGTCTATGTTATTGATTTTTAAGATCTTAACAGGGAATGCTCCCAAATATTTTGATGAATTCATTACTGTTAATTATCAAGTCCATAATTATCCCACAAGAAGTGCTGACAATTTTCATATAACTAGAACAAATTACAGATGTACTTTTTTCATAATGGTTTGTATAATTTTAATTCTCTCCCTAGGGAGCATAAAACTGAAAGTAACATCAAAAAATTTAAGAGATTGTTAGTAGATTTTTATTAAGACTGAAAAAATGTGATAAAGATATGTTTCTTAATGATTTTTAGTGTTATAGTTTATGTTGAATTGTTTTAAGTCTTAAAAAATTTATATTGTTAATTTTGATATTGATAAAAAACTGTGTTTTTTAATAATTAGAAACATAATTAGGATTACTTATTTGAATAAAGATTTTCAATTCAACCATATGTAACACTTGATATTTGATGTAGTCAGGGTACTAATTATTTTAAAAGTTAGCTCTCTAGATTTCGCATCCAGAAATTATGCACATAAGATCAATTCAATCTAGAATGCTGTGATTTTGACATTAGTTCACGTTACAGTTGCTGAGTTCGTTTGGAAAACTTGGAGTAGAGTTACCGCAGAAGTAAATATGGTCACGTGGCATCGGAGTCAAAAGAGTTAATCATATTAATTTGAACGATAATTCTGTTTAGGAGTTTGGACATAATAAACATGACATTACCTTATATAAAATAATAATCTTATTTTTAAGTTTGTCGTTGAAATAAATTAATGTGGATTGTAAAATTTACAGTAGAATATGATTTTGACGATGATGAGGGAAAACATAATTTTGCCGAAAACATTACCTAATATGAATATGATGATCAATTTAATTTTTGTTAGAAACCAGCAACTTTTGATATTCTCTCTTGGAGAAATTTTCTTTTGAATAAGCAATATTTTATTGTTCTCTGATATTATACCATTTTCTGGTATAACAGCAGCATTGTATAGATATTTCTTTAATTGAAGACACAAGTGGATGAAGGGCCTATGTAACATTTTTTTAAATGGTGTTTTTCTATGAATGTAGGGCTTATGTACCTAAAATTGGTTTAAAATGTCTTCCGTGACAATATATCATCAAATATAGAAGTTGCCAGTGGGTAAAGGACCCATGTACTAGGGAATAATAAACAATAAACTTTAACACGAAATATCTCGTAAAAAATATTTTGCTACATAGGCCCTTTATCCACTTGTCTTCAATTAGTCCAAATTGCAAAGTAAAATAGAATTAAACCTGCACATTCACAACATGGAGGAAAAGAAAACTATCTACAAATCGCAGAAAAAAGGAACGGGTATTGATTACTGCGCAAGCTTGCTTCTGAGTCACCTTTCGCCAAGATGGTGCAGGATAATTTACTCCATCTACTCTGCTCCGCCCTATTTGAACGTAATAGAGTTAACGTGGTGTAATTTGAATACAGCAGAGTGCGATAAAGTAACTCTGCGCACGCGGAGTGAGCTTACCAAACCCAGCAATAATTAACAAAAACTGACAGTAGTTTGACGTGTTTTCTGCAGGGCAAATTGTTTCTCTAAATGAAAAAGAGCGATGATGATAATGATGACAGGGACGGCCATAGCCAATGATACTTTCCCAAACCATTAGCCTATCCATAAGGCGACGGTATAAAAATACAACTATTATGAATGACAACAAAACTATGGATTTATTGCAGTTTCGTTATTTCGCATTGCATTTCTATTGTCTTCATGGAAAACGATGTCAGGCTAGTTTTTGGGACAGTGTAGTCCATCTTTACAGGTTTGGGTATGAAGACCACTTACTTCTCTCCATTTTTTGTGGATATACCTCAGAGACAACGAGGATCTGGATATACCTACCAATTGCGATGTGTGTTCTTCCAGACTCCTCTGAAGTAGAGCTGGATAGGTACCATGAAGTCCAGGTACTTTAAATGGGGAGAAGGTACATACTGCCCATCTAATTTTGTCTTCATCTACAATGTATTTGGCAGTTTTTCCAATCCTCTGCCCAGTCGGCTAGTCAGGGAAGTGTGTTGACAGAAAAAGTTTGATGATATCTTCGAGGTTTGCAGTTTTCATGCCATCCTCTTTGATTAGCACACCAATACTGTGGTGTGGATCTCTTGAGAGGGCTTTTTGAAGACTTGCTACCAAGAAATCTTCGATTTCTTGACAGTAGGTTTTAGTTTTGTGGTTCTTGCCTCATTAAAAAATCAAGAACGCACTTGGCGCGTTTTCGGCGCGGGGCATGCGCTTTGTTGCGTAATGTGCGTTTTGGTTATTTTAAATATTTTCGATATGTTCATTACAAAAAATACATTTTCTTAAAAAGATATGAAAATCAAACAAAAAAAATAACTAAAATAAAATCACTATTTTTGATAACACCATATGGAAAAGTAAGCCAAGAAAAATGTTAATTTCTCCAATAGTAATATCTTTCCATTGCGTAATTCTTGCTTTATTGGCATAACTTCTTGATAGAAGATCCACGGTATAATGGTTTGATTTTTGGACAAGATCATCGAAGAACTCATCAGTAGCGATCAAATACAAATCAATTGGTCGTGGACCATTGGGCTTGATAGGAAGACTAGGCTTTCCAGTAAAAGGAATAGGAGTTTTGTTTGGCACTGTTTTGGTCCATTCAGAAGTTTTGTTACCTTGTTTATGGAGGGTAGTTGCTACTTGCGTGAAATGACATTCCGGTGACAATCTCCGGCGAGTCGCCAGCTTTTTGGGCTTTCGCCGGCGGATCGCCAGCGATACGCTGGCGATACGCCGAAATTAATCTCTGGCGAGTCGCTGGCGATCGACTATGCATACGGCTGTAAGGTTCGCTAATAAAAGTTGGTTTTTTATATAACTCTTCCACCCTTAGAGGAGAATCCGGGGGCTGGCCTCTGGATTTTCTTCCTTGGAGCTTTTCTTCGATGAATTCTTCCTATATTTTCTATATGAATAAATGCAAAATAACAAACAAAATGCAATAAAAATATAAATCAATATAGTCCAAACACTAATATTGTTAAAATGGATTGGATTATCAAAAATATGTTCTACTTTTTGTTTTTGAAAATTTAGTCTTTTAAAGTGGTTAATTGTTCCAAATCAATACTGTTCAATTTAATAGGTTTAAGATAAATAAAATTTTTATCATTAGAGTTTTTAATATTAACTTTAGGAAGTTCTATTATTTTAAATTCACTTTTTGGCAGTTCGTTACTACGTAGAACTATTTTACCTATTTTAACACTACACTCATTGATTAATTCTAACAAAAATGTTCCTTCTAATGGGACTTTGTCATTGTCTTGTCCGCAGATTCTTTGGGCCACTATGTTCTGAGGTGAGATGATCATCCATTTATTTTGACGAATTTTTGAGTTTTTATGTCCACAATGTAGAGAGGGATGGTTTGGCAGTTGGTGAGGTTCTTAGAAAACCTCAACAAATGAAACTTCGCAGGGGCATCTTCTTCTACTGGAGTTGGTACCGATTCGTGACAGATAAACTCTTTGTTACTAATTTCCTGACATTCTGAGTCAAATGACATGAAATTTTGCTCGTTTAGGATGAGGAATTTCGAATTTGGAATAATTATTTGTAAAAGGTTGCTTTTAGGAGTAGGTAAAGGGAAAAGTTGATATAAATCGTAATTTTCTCTCTCCACAATTGGGATTTCTATGATAAAAATAATTTTATTCTTTTTACTATAACTTTTAATTTGCATTATTTTTTCGAATTTAAGTATATTGTTTAAAATTTGTTTAAATGGTAATTTGTTGTTTAATAAATTGTTATTGATGGAATTATGGAAAACATTTATTTATTTATTTTCAATTTTTTTCTAGTAAATCGTAAATATTTTGATATAAAATTGATATCTGATTTGTGACTTCTTGAATGTAGACACTTTCAAAAGTTTGTTTATTTTGGATTTGAGCGGTTTCTAAAATTTGAGATTTTAATTGTAGTTGATTATGAGCTAAGACTTGACTACTTTTATTAAATGTGTCTAAAGAATTTTCAACTAAGGTAATTTGTTCATAAATTAATCATCTTATTTTGATTTCGAAAGATTTTCTACGGCTTTGTCATAGTTTTCGGCGTCGTTTTGTTCTAAATTTCCAGATATTGATTTAATTATTGTACCTAAACCATTAAGAAGTTTTTATCTATGGATTTGTTCAAGTGATGGGTTCAATTGATTAATTTTGGTAATAAATTTATTTTCTAATATGGTTACTATTTGAAATGTAACAAAGATGTCCTCAGAATCAGATTTGGTCTGGTTTATAAGTTTATTTATTGTTATCGTTTGTAGGTAGGAAAATTTGTCTTGTAGTGACTTAAATTCGTCTATTATTTTGGAAATGTCGAAAATTCTTACAAATGGCCAGTAGTCAATTATGTTTTGAATCTTTCCTAATTTAAGAGTTAAAAGTCCAGGATTGTCGGTAATATTATGGAATGTTGGATGAGTCAGTTTGCTGTTTGTGAAGTTGATGGTTGCGAGGAACGCAATTCCTAGGATTATTTTCGTTATATCAACGGGGTCAAGCGATGCGGTCTGTTCTCCCTGTTTTTCTTAAAACTAGCTGAATTTGGCGATGTGGTCCTCGTCCAGGTTCTTAAACTAGCTGGATTTGGCGATGTGGTCCTCGTCCAGGTTCTCCAAACTTCGGCAATGTTGGTCCTATGCTTGGCTGTACACTTTTTGTTCAGTTTATTTTACCAATTTTCGCGAATTCGATTTGCCGTTAAACTATTAAAATAGACCGATTTGAAACGATTTTTGTTGTCATACCGTTAGCCAATCCTACTGACTGCGCCACTTTTAGGTTCGCTAATAAAAATTGGTTTTTTTAAAAAATATCAAAAACTTTACAAAAAGCGGAACTTTATTTTATGACTTTACTGTATACAAGTTAAAATGTTAAAGCTAGAAAATGCCGGCAACGAACTAGTTTTGTTGCCACTAGATCTTGGTGGGGCCTTATTTTGGACTTGCCGCGTCTGCATAATTCTACTTGTGTTTCCTATGATTGTGTTATCATAACTTGAGTGATACAATGGATGGCAATATTTTAATGGTCGCTCTTGACGATGATATTGACTTAAATATTGTTGTAAAATTGACGGGACCTCAATTCACTACTAGATGCTTTTCTTTAGTAGTCACCTGAACTTTGAAAGTTTGATCGAGATCTGGGTCAAATAACTCTAGAACTTCCATGTTTTAAATCATTACCCTCGTCTTTAATATACTTTTAAGTTGATCTTGATCTTAACCTCAAAAACAGAATACCGCAACATGTTTACTAGAAATGTAGTATAAATTATATACGCTCCAAAAAATGACAACTGTTTTGCGCAACGTTGAGAAAATTTGTCGTTCAGCAAAAAATAAGTAAACTGTTGCGTCTGCTGAACGCAGCCATGAGATGTTGTAGTGGGGGTTGTCAAAATTGTCATTTGTTTTTTATTAGATTCGTTCTATGCCAGAAAGCAGATGTTCTGTGAAGCGTAATACCGATTCGGTTCAGTTGGTTCAGTTTATCCTTCAGTTTATCCTTTTTTTATGCCACCGTGAATATAAAAGTGATTAGTTTGTTTAATTTATGTTTAGTTTTCAAATTTAGGTTGATTTCTAGTCTCAAAAGCCAAATTGACAAAGTATAAACTTCTAACTTGTCATTGTCATTTTATCACGTGACCAATAAAGTTTGTTTAATACATCTACATTTTAGATCTAATCCTTTATCACGTGATAAAAAATTCACATCTCAGATGCATCCGATGTGGATATTCAAACGCAGCAAATAACATACCACATATTTCTTAGAGACCAAAATTAGCCGATTTAGGTAAACTTTTCTCAGTTCAAAGCTGATTTTTTCATTGCAAATTTAAAATTTCTACGCCAATGGAATAGAAGGGGTTTGGTTTGCATTTTAATTTATAAAAAGTAACCACCTCTAAAATTATTATTTTTATTATAGGAATTATGTGTTTAAAATTAATATTGATGATTGCAAAAATTTAAAAATAATTTATTAATAAATTTTAACCGATAGCGTCGAAATTTTTTATTTAATTTCCACGCCACTTCATGCCATTGTCTAGAATTGTTAGACGACTAATTATGTTTCCATTTCATGCTACAATGCGCACAGATATGGGATTAATAAAAAAAATAAAAGTAGGTTTGGCAAGTTGGCAATACATGAGACATACGAGACCTAAAATATTAAATTTTGATAATTAATACTCTGACCTCATGTGAATCTGAACGGCAAAATTTTACTAAAGTACCTACTTTGTAGAGGATAAAGTTACCTATGGAACATTTTTATAAAGTATGATTACTGCAGCTAATTTTCAGCACAATACATTAAAATGAGCAAGTAGGTACACGTTTTATTCTTAAAGATAAAAACTATTGTCCTGGGCGCATAATCAAAATAGGTGGGTGTAGCAGCCACTGAACTATTTCAATCAATATTTTTAGTGATAATAAATAATTAAAAAAAATACTTACTGGGCACTTTGAAGTCATGATTTTTCAACTAAAATTTATAATATATGGAGTTGCTTTCAAAAGATGGACAATTTCAAAAAAAAAGCTGATGATTTTGACGTATGCCAATATTTTGTGACGGAATAATCGTCCTCTACAGGGGCGCATTTAGAATATTTAAAGAATCAATATTAATGTACCAACCCAAACAGCACAAACACATTTCGGAAATATTTCAAAAATATTACATTGAAACATTTGTAATGTTGTATAAATATTACGAAACATCCCAGAAACATTTTTTAAATGTGCCTGAAACGTAAAAATGTCCTGTAAATATATTTCACAGTAATATTTCTGAAATAAAAATTTGAAATCTTTTACAAATATTAAATAGTAATATTTCAGAAATGTATTCCAGCTTTTTTTTTCTAAAATTTTATTAGACTAGAAAAAAAGACATTTTTATTTAACATGTTTATTTAAAATACACAAAACTCAAACAATGATTCTTAAACAAATAAATAATTTTTAAACATTATTTCATAAAATATAAAGGCGAATCGCTTAATTTCCACAAATTCCTTTAAATGCACTAATATAGCGTAATTACATTGTTTAAATTTATTTATCAGAACATGAGAGTGTAATCGATATTTATACAACCTTTATTATCAGGTTTTCAAATTTCCCGCTGCATTATTTGTTTGATATCGATGAAAGTGCCACATAGTGGGTTAGATGTTAATTGCATTAAAGCTGGTCGTTGTTAAGAGGAAAATTTACATAACAAACTGAAAGACCTGCGGGGAAACGGCAGTTTAGTAGGTATAAAAATTACAACTTAAGGGTGGAGCCTAAATACTACAAAATTACTTCAGAGACTAAACAAAATCCGCATTCATTCATAATTTTAACAATTGCATGTAGATACAAGGGATACGTATTCCAAACTCTAACTCGCGAAGTTAAGACAAAGGAACCGAAAAATCCTACCACGGCTGCCGACGTTCATCAGTTCTTGAGTGAGTCCGAGTTACCTAAATTAGGGGAACCAGAAGCGTATTTGTTTTTCTTGGTGCATTGCAAGGTATTGTTACATTATTTTTATATTTTAATTTAGTGAATAGGTTTAGTTAGATTAAATTACATTTAGGAGTAAAGAATTGTGAAATATAAATACAAATTACGAAAAAATAAACGATTGGTTCGAATAAGGTAATATCAATTAATACAGGGTATTAATTGAGTGCCGATACTTAAGGGTGTGAATCTTTTGGGTGTTAAAGTTTTAAGAAAAAAATATAACTATTTTATCATAAGTTTCTTATCACTCTAGATATTTTTATGAAATTTTGCCCAAAAAAAAGTGTTTCCACTCATGTGGGTTCCTACCAAATTTCAACAAAATATCAAAAGCAGTTTCAATAAACTGGTTTTTATTTTCTTACCCGAAAAGGGTGCGTCTTACGAAAGTACGTCTATAAACAAAATTTGCTCCAAAATAAATAAGGATTTTAAAGATAATTTTGGTTTTTAGAAAAAGCAGTGGCGTACCATATTTTTGTTCAAAAATATTCAGTTCAAACCCGGTACGGACGTCACTGGTAAACATTTAAGTCTTTTACGACAAAAGGCGGGATTGAAAGTGAAAGTTTAGTATGTTGGTACATAATATACTATATTTATATATCTAATTTTTATTATTACACTGAATGTGACATGGCTTTTTTGTTTGCCTTTTTTGGATCAACAAAATATTATTTTAATGATTTAAAATAAACTGCCAGTAATAATAATTATCTGTACTTAAACATATATAAAATGAAATCATAAAACGACACATCAAGAAAGCACCAAATTATTAAACTTTTAATTTACGTAACAAGTATTAAAAGTAATTTTAAAAAACCGACTTTAAAATCGTGCAGATGCCATCACCACATCTTAACCAAATTTATATGGGACCACCCCTGAGGTACTAACGAAAAGAATTATAGAAATCGGACAAGGTGGTATAGAATTATCGCTAAACATACATAAAAAATGAAAAGTTTGAGGATTTTCTCATGGACCCAATTATTAGATTTTGACCAAATTTATATGGGACCATCCCGGAAGTACCCCCTTTCCAGCAAATAAGAATCATTTAAATCAGACATTGTGTTAAAGAATGATCGCTGAACATACATAAAAAAATATATACAGACGATTTGAGAACATCCTCCTTTTTGAAGTAGGTTAAAAAGGATATAATAATCTATATTAATTGTATTAACTAAAAAACTACTATGTGGAGTTATATATCTTCTTAAATTAATCTTATATGTAAAAATGTGGGTTCGATTCCTAAGAGAGTACCTAGTTCACTGTGCAGCCAAATTTATATTTATGGTACAAAATTTTCTGAATAAATAAAGTTTTAGGTTTAATTAAACACCAAGTTTTATCAGGAATGACATTTTCTGAAAAAAGTAACATATAAAAAGCAGACTTTTTGCGAGCCAATATATATATTTTAGAGAACAATCCATATTATTTTAGAAAAATAAATAAAAATTTTGTATAATCACATAAATGTGATTTATCTTTTAGAATATTGTAAAGGTTTGTCAAAGTTTATTATTTTTTTAAAAAAAGAAATATTCTTCAAAATTTTTCTTAAATTTTTTAACACGGTACAAAATACATTAATCCATTTATAGTTATCGAAGTTAGTAAAGAATTTTAACTCGATTAAAAAGCGTTCAATCGGTATTCGGTGACTTTTCTTCTGTTTTATTGCCTTGAAAATGATGTTTTACATAAAAAACAAAAACTGACTTATTATTTTTGTGAAATAAAAATATGTTGTTATGTTCACAATTTTCGACTACTCTTTGTTTCCAAAATAGAAATACGATGTTCTTCTGTAGATATTAACACATTCTTTAATTGGCTTTTTATTTATTTTTTTTTTTTTTAATATTCTTTAGTATTTTCATAATTTGGGAAACAGTATAGCATTAAAACTTCTATACCTGAAAAATTGTGAGTACGATTTTAATTAATTGTCTGTTTTTTTATCTCACAATGTCTCGATAAGAAGTTATATAGAAAAAGTTAGTATTCAATATCATCCAGACAAAAAACAAAAACATGTTTAAATGAATATATTAAATAAATTATGAGTATTCTTTAACAGAGATATATTTATTTGTATTATGGAAATAATGTTTATGTCAACAAACTTATGTTCGATATTTGTATCAATTTGTAAAGATAACTCTTGTTTAATGATAATATTAATATTTAAAGGTTTTAAATAAGAACTTGAAGATATCACAGTTCGAAATTCGTTTTATTGGCCATAATACTTTTTTTTTGGAATGAAAGCATTAGTTCCTGTTTTTCAGTTAAGCTCCATAAATCAATTCATATTTTAATCTGAACACTACTTAAGCGCAGTAAAGTTGCAACAACTAAACAATATAGTGAACTTCTCGAAAATTTCTAAGTTAAAATGAAAATCAATTTATATTTAAAATGAAATAAGTTAACTAAAATTTTTGACCGTTATGAAGTTAATAAAGTTATAAATAACGTCGTTACAAAGATTCATGTGTGAATTTTCCATTTCTATTGATGATAGTTACTCATCTACGTATTACAATATCAATACATTACTTGGTTTTGACACAAAACCCTGTATAGTAAAACTTCTAATCTGAATCAAAATCTTGAAACTATTATTTGGGGACTTAAAAGCGTGGTTCACTAGTTGGTGTAGCTTTTTAAAACATTTGATATAATAATAATAATAATTATATATCATCAATTGCCACTGCCACTGGTAAAATCCTAAATTTAAAATAGTGTATTATAATAATAAGACATTAATCATATATTAAATGGATCGCCTACTACCATGTTTTAGAAATCATATATTAAATGGATCGCCTACTACCATGTTTTAGAAATAAATAAAATGTAATTCCTAAATTAATAAAAATATTCAAAATAATTCCTTGCGTTATGTTAATAAACATTAAACAAAATTTCTCACGAATTATTTAGTATTCTGTCCCGTACTTCCATGTCTCTATTGCTTCGCTGTCAACAAGTTCCGGCAAGGCATATTGCATATAAAAATTTTCAATGTTATTTTGTATCTTTTCTTCCCAAAAGCTGTCAATATGAGATATTTTCTCCACTTTTATTCCTCCAGAAGTCCAAAAGCACAAAATGCAAAAATCCATTTGTGTTATGTGCAGCTAGCCCTGAATTTGAAAATACCAATAGTGGTTCTCCTTAATGGTATTGTCCTTTTTCCAAAAAGTTATTCCTCTACTGCATATTTCTTCTTCTACAGTCAGCACTTCAGCTCCATATGGACATTTTAACTCTACCATAGAGTTTTGTGATTTTTTAATTCCATCCAGACTGGCAGCAACATAATCAAATTCGAATTCAATAAAATTTCCACATTTAAAAACTTTTACTTGCAAATAAATTTCCAAATCTTATTTTGCTTTGAATTTATGGTCCATGCCATTTCGGGTGGCTTTAGAAATAAATAAAAGATTTTAGGAGATTTTTTACAAATTTCTCCAAATTTTAAAGCAGTGACTCGTTTCCGTCTTTTATTGTGCCACAATGCACAATCAGCTTGTCACAATCTTTTTTTTTTCTCATTTATAGACAAAGCAAGAAAAAATATTTACATTATTTTAACGGATTGAAGAGATATTAACATGCTGGAATTAATAATTATTGTTTCAAATTTTAAAAAAGTGTATCCAGAGGAGCATAGATTTATTCTTTACCTACACGTACATATTTTTTTCTTTCAGAATAAGTCAAAAATAAACTTTAAAAGTGGGGTACTACGAAACCCTTGCATGCTCTTTTGTCCCTTATCTCTGGTTCAAGCATAACAAAGTTCAACGGCGACAGAAACTGCAAGTTTATAGATCGGCCTTTCATACTTTTACTTGATAAGGTTTGGTTAATCTTACCTGCAATATTGAACGCAGTGGTCTATGTCTCAGGTTTTTATTGTCTAAATCAGGAATGTTCCAATCTAGGCACAATGTTTTTTACTTTATTAACGATTTGGAGGCTTTTATTTTTTATTTATTGCAGAACCAATGGCAGAACCAGCCAGTACAAAACAATTGGTATCCCCCACAACAAACGCAATACCAACAAGCTGTACCGAAACCGGAAGCAGCTGTACAACCTCAACAAAACTACTGGCAGCAACCATATAACCCTCCCACATACAATCAAAACAATCAACAGTATGGGCAGACCCAGCAGTACCCTGCTTATGCTCAAAATAATACTGGGTAAATTACAGTGATGATATTTTTAAAACTTAAATTGTATTTACTTAAGTCCTGATCTGAATATTTTCGAAAATATGACAAGATCTTAAAAAAATCAAGAATTAAGTTAACATTATCAACGCGAAAATTGTTATTTGTTTAAGGTATGGACAACAACAGAACTATAGTAATTTGCAGTATAGTCAATTAAACAACCAAAACAATGTGTATGGTACCCAGGCGGTACCGCCGGAGAGCGAGGGAGACGCCTGGGGGAATTGGGGTTGGGGGGACGAAGACAATTCCAATGTTCAGCTTGCTACTCAGACCAGTACAAATAGCACTAACCAAGCTGGACAAATAGGCAAGTATACATTCTTAGGGCCGCTTTATAGTTCACATTTTTCTTGCTGCAAGTAAAATTGCGAAAATTACTATTGAGCGTTAGAGATATTGCTGAAAATTTAATAATTAAATAAAACATTCAACATGGATCATTCTTTCATATTCTAGGCAATTAGTTTACATAACATAAAACAAAACAGTGTTTTTTAACCTAACTGGCAGCGCCCATTTCAGCTATTTTTTCTTCCAGAGTTGAAGCTGCAATATAAATTGCTCAATTTTACTAGTCAGCAAGAAAAGTGCTCTAAAGTGACTCTAAAGATTTATTAAAATATCTTTATGTAGTCATTTTAATTATTTGTATTTTATTTTGCCAGAAACCGCATTCGCTACTGATCAATCATGGAATTGGGGAGTTGAAGAAACGAAAACTACCCCACCCGAGAAAGAAGAGCCAACAGATGTCCAACAACTTTATCCGAAACTAGGCTCTGCATCCGTGCCATCTCAGAAACCGGCGACCGATACTGATCCCTCAAAATTAAACCCAGTCCAAGATCATTTGACGGTATCGGGAAAACGCGGCAAATTAGAGACGCCACAATGGTCGACCGAGTCTCAAATGTCGCAAGAATCGTCTGATGACATTTTACATACATCGGAAAGTGACAAGAGTCACATGATGAGCCGAAGTTCGACGATTAGTCACTCCCCGATATCGGGACAGGATTTGGTACCGCAACATTTAGAGGAAGTACCGGTTAAAAGCGAAACATACGAAAATAAAGAAATAGTTTCGAACGTTAGAGTTAATCCAACACCGCCGCCTAGTAAAAATATGCCGCCACCAGCGGTGCCACCTTCTAGTTTAGACGACAGTAAAAACCCGTATAAAAGAACCGCCGGGATTTCTCATACCTCCGCAAATAGGTTTAGGGCTTCAAACATCACACCGCCTGACACCAGGCAAACCGTTTACCAGTCTAATTTTCATAACCAACAAGTAAGTGGTTTTATTTTAATTTTATTATTTTAACATTTGGGATGTTAACTTGGGTGTATTTAACTTTTATGTCCGACATATTGATTGGACTACATTAAGTCTTCACTGATTTTAGGTTAACCTTGAAACTCCTCCTGATAACGCCGAACAACCGGATCCTATATCAACCAAGCCTACGCAAAAAATAAAACCAACCAATCAAAGACCCGACAACATTGAGGCACCCATTAACGATAGAAATCAATATTTAGAAACGGGGCATCTGTCTGAAGGCAACTACAATGATGTCAGGGTAAGTAAAACCTAGAGACCTTTAGTTATATGTCTGATCTAAGGTGGTGATATACCATTTTTTTATATATCAATTTTTTTTTATTTTACTGTTTATATTTTTATCACTCCATCTGTTGTAACATTGGGCTTAACACTTTCTCCTTCTTTTAGTTTATACATTATTTTTAATTTCGTCGTTATGTATTTTTTAAACAGGCGGAAACGGATATTGCGAGACTGGATCTTAGAAGTTCTTACGATCTACAAGAAAGCGGAGAAGGCACGAGTGATACCCTGCCACCTCCGGGTTTAAGAAGAATGGTTCCGGGCCAATTAGAACAACACGAAAACGGCAGCAATCCTATTAATTTTACGGACAAGCCTCCCCCGGGTCTTAGTAGGATGGTTTTAGGGCAAACAGAAGCATCTGATCAGTCGGGCGTAGTTGCGCAAGAAGATATGTCACAATTTGATATTTCTGGTCCGCCAGAAGGTCTGCGTAGGATGGTGCCTGGAGAATCAAGTTCTCCCGAATACTCGCGACAACAACAACAAAACCGGGAGGAAAATGATTCTGAACCGGAATTTAGTCAGCTTAGTCAGCACACTTCCCAACCCAGATCGGCTACAATCGGCGCTGATACTCCACCTGCTGTCAGTAACTCATCGGTCAATCCAGCCGCCAGTAGCAGTAAGTGTTATTTTTCGACGCTATCTTAGCTAGACGTTACATAAATATTCTTTTCAGGCATCGGTTATACTCGTTTAGAAAACGGCACCAGCAATGAGCCCGACTCGAAACGCAGGGACTCGATAGAAGGCGAACCGCAAGAAACCGAAATATCTAAAATAACGAATTCCGTGCGTAACATGACGGTCGGTGAAAATTTGACGGACGGTCATACGTCGAACAACAGCTTACCCGATCAACTTCAAAGAAGGCACAGCAGACCGGAGAGCAGCGATAGCGAAAAGGAATCCAGAAAGCCGCCTAGAGGACCTCCCAGAGACAAGAGATCATCAGAACGTACTAGGAGAGATAGGGACAAAGATAGGGATAAGGAAAAGGACAAGAGTCGGAGAGAAAGAGATAGATATAGTCCGGATAGTTATAGAGATAAAAAATATGAGAGGCGGAGGTACAAAGACAGACGTTACGAAGACGATACTGATTACTACAGTGATAAAGAAAAAGATAGGAGAAACTATGAAGAAAAGGACAGCAGAGACTATGAACGTAAATACAGCAGTTTGAGAAAGGACAAAGATAAAGATAGACGTAGAAGAGATCCGAGAGAACCCAGAGATCCGAGAGAACCTAGGGATCCGAGAGAACCCAGAGATTATCGTAGGGATTATTATTATGGTAGTAGGTGAGTGGTGTTATCTCTTTTGACTTGTGTTAAACTAAGCAAATACCTTGAAGGTCAGCTGTAAAGATTTATAGTTTTTTTTATTTAGTCAATGTTTTAATAATTCTGATTTTCTTTTAGATATGACGCGTATGAAAACGATCAAAGGTCGAGACCGTCCAGTAGATCTGATTCGATGCACGATTCTTATAGAGCCACCAGAGGCGTAGAAAAGGATGATAGGGACAGAAGAAATAGAGAAAGAGAAAAATACAGAAGTAGAAGGGACCCTAGAGAATCATACAATCCGTATCAAGTATTATATAAAATCATTTTTCTTTTTCTTGCAATTAAAAATCGTTTTTTTTTAGGGTTATTCTTATGATCCGTACAATCCGTATTACCAACAACAATATCAATATTATGAAAATTTGAGGAGGACTAATCCTCAAGCGTACGCGGAATGGTACAGAAAGTACTACGAACAAGCTACCAGTCAAGCTACTGCTTACGGGGGAGAGGATCGGGCTTCTGTTCATTCTGGACGTAGTTCGGCTAACGACGAATTAGCGAAGGACAGGTATGCTTCCTAGTAGTGATTTTTTAGTTTTAATTCGTCACGTATAGATGTCGTGGATGTGGAGTGTTTTCTTGCAGAGTTTTTTTGCTGTTTTTTTTTTGTAAGTGTAAATGTTATGAAAAATTATTTGCTAATTGTACAGAGTAAAAAACTGAATTGACTAAAATTAAGTTGGATTCTTCTTGTGACATTTTTGATAAAGAAAAGCGTCCATTATCCAACTACAATCTATTTAAAAGTGGTACTGAAAAATCGTTTTAAATTTAGCAATTAATCAAATAACTAAGATATGTTTGGCATTGTTTGTACTTCTTTACAAATGGATGGAAAAATAATTAATACATTTTCAGAAATACAGGGTGTCCCGTAAATATACCGACAATGGCGTAGAAAATATTTAAACACCAAACGCGTTAATAATTTTAACAGGTGACTTCAACATAGATTATCTAAATTCTGTAGATTCGAATGTTAAAAATTTGACACATCTTCTTAATTGTTATAATCTTAACTGCACGTGTTAAAGAACCTACTCGTAAAAATAGTGCATTAGATTATTTCTGTACAAATTGCGTAAGATGTTATGTAACAAAAAATAATTTGTCTGATCATAATCCGGTATTAGGTCACATAGTTTATAAGATATCACAGAAATCTTCATCTAAATCTGAAAGAATATTCAGTAAGTCTAATTACAATAAATTTTCTCAACTGTGTATTGAAGAAAATTGGTTTAATATCTTGTCATCCTCAGACCCTTTCCAGCAGTTTCTTACTATATTAAAAAAGTTAAAAATGCTTTTCCTATGAAAACACTAAAAAACAAACCCAAAAAGCTTTGGATAACTAAAGGGATTAAGACTTGGGCAAAAAATATGCACTCCTTGTACCTAATAAAAAAACTATTCAGGTGACAAAGGTTCTATTTTAAATTATTACTTGAAATATCGTGCAATTTACAGGAAAATGATTAAAGCAGCTAAACAATAATTATACTTAAAAAAAGGCAGGCAATAAACAAAGAAAGACCTGGAAAATAATAAAAGACTTAAGAGGCAAAAGGTCTAAACCCTTGGTCACCAATTTAAGCCCTACCGAAATCAACGATTTTTATCGTTCTTTTGGTCCAAGTCTGTCCACCCAAATAACTCCTTCGACTGATTCTTTGTCTTATTTAAATAATCTAAATATTAACGTTTACATTTTATTTTATATCAACTGATGTAGAAATTAAGGATATCCTCTCTTCTACCACAAAAAATAATTCCTCAGGTTGGGATGAAATTTCAGTTAATCTTCTTTCATATCTTCCAGAAGATGCTTTAAATGTTTTAGCAGAATCAATCATTCATTTTGGACCGGTTCTTTCAGTAATTATTTAAAAATAGCCAATGTTATACCTGTGTACAAGGGCGGTGATCATAATTGTCCTTCTATCGACCCATTTCTTAATTACCCACTTTGGCAAAAATTACTAAAAAATTGTTTCTTAAAAATCACGGTATTAGTTTGGGTTTCAATCGGCTAAAAATACCACCGATGCTATGTTTTCTGTTCTAGAAAAATTATACCTCAATTTAAATGATAACAAGGTAGCTGCTGCAATGTTCTGTGATTTATCCAAAGCTTTTGACTGTGTAAATCACAGAATATTGCTGAGCAAGCTAAAAAAAATATGGATTCTGAGGAATAGCTCTAAAGTGGTTCCAGTCTTATTTGGAGACTAGAGTACAAAGAGTTTCTTTCAATAAGCAAACATCAATGTTTTCTATGATTCACTGTGGGATTCCCCAAGGATCCGTTCTGGGACCGGCTTTATTCCTAATTTATGTTAATGATATTATTAATGTCAATATTAATGGATATTTCAGCATATTTGCAGATAATACGATACTTTGGGAGAGTGAGAATATTGACTATTAACAAAGACATTATTAAGATTAAAGAATGGTGTAATTCAAATTATTTATCTCTTAATATATCAAAATCAAATATAGTCTCATTCAGTGGCGATATCGCTATAATTTCAGTTGGACAGCAACAAATTTGCAAAAAACCCGAAAATAAATTCTTAGGATTATTCATTGATCAGAAATTAAATTTTGAAATCCATGTTAATGGTTTGTGTAAGAAGCTGTCCTCTGGATGTTTTGCAGTACGAACTGTTGCATACAACTTAGATATTTCGGTTGCAAGGAGTGTATACTTTTCATTAGTAGAATCCCATTTGCGATATGCTATGAGTTTCTGGGAAACATGTTCTTCCGAGTTGTTTACTAGAGTCTTTGTCTTTTAGAAGAGGGCCATGAGACATATGGGCAAAGTTGATGCTAGTGTCTCTTGTAAGCCATTATTTATTAGGCACAATATACTAACACTCGTCTGTTTATTTTAGAAACGGTACTTTTAGTTTTTATAAAATATAAATGTAATATTATTACCTCCAGCAATACTCGAAGAATCTTTTACCTTCCCTTGCATATACCCTCTTCCGGCTTGGTATACGGCTCTATTGTGTATAGCGGGAAGAAGATATTTAACCACCTGCCAATTAATATAAGAAGTGCTGACTCATTAAACATATTTAAAAAGCAAGTTTAGAAACTCGAACAGACCTACTACAAATTGGATGAATTTTTCTGTGATCAGTTGAATTAAGTAGCTCATTTTAATTTATTTGTATATTATATATTTGTCAATTGTCATATTTGTACTTGGTGTTGTGCATATACATTTTTTCTTTATATTTTATGACTTAACATTAGAATTTAAAAAAAAAAATTTCATTTATGAAATATTTGTTCCCTTTCTTTGAATTTTAATTTTTTACTTTTGTTTTTAGCTCTCTTATACTATTATCTATCTTTGTTAATAAGAATGTAATTAATTCTTCAGCAATAAAGAAATTTTGACTTACTCGACTTAAACTTTTAGGGGTGGTAGGGACATCAAAATAATTATGTTTTGTTTAACAAACGTATATTTGAAAACTGTTCGTTTCCGAGATATAGGGTGGGTGCGAAGTTAAAAAAAAATTTATTAGATATTTTAAAAACGTTTTAATCGATTTCAGTGAAATTTGCAGTTTGTTGAAATCTTGATAAAGTATCTTTTGAACCTATTCGCGTTTTTCCAAAATTTCCATAGACTTTACCACGGAACAAACCTATTGCTCTTGATTCCTAATTTTTTCATATATCGCTTCGTTTTTGTACCGAATAATTGTATTTTTAGTTGTTTCAGAGACGTGTAAAAGTTTGGATATTAATTTTTTCTCGTAAACTAAGAGAAATACCCATAAATACCAAGAGATAAAAAAGTTGCATTTTTAGTTGCTTTATTCAAAACAAATTATGATAATTGCAAATATCTACTACTGGTCCTTATTACTTTATTATAAAATTCCCTGTATTTAGGAAATTACGTGTTTTTGTTATTAAACAAAAAATATTTGTTTTGGTATCTCATCCCGAGAACGGTATTCTCGGATCCCACCCTTAAAAATTGTAGGTATATTTACGGAACACCATGTATATTTTAAGTTGTTTATTTTTATAAAAAAATCATTGCTTGATTAGTTTTTAGTACATTTAGTACTATTGAAAAAATATTGTAACGTCAAGCGTTTCTGAAAAAATATAAAAGTTAGGAAACTGTTTTCAAGAAAATAAAAAAAGAAATGTGAATTTTTGATAGAAGAATATAGAAACTAGAAACTTATTTTGAGTCTGTATTTGCGATTAAGTTTTTTTAATATTTTTATTAGCAAAAAAAGATATTTGAAGAACTGTAAAATTCGCACTACATATTTTTACATCTAGTATCTAATGATTTGAATTTGCAGCTTTATCACACACCGCATCGAATTATAACAAAACATTTTTGATCAATCACAATACACCACATACACAAGCTAACCTCACTCACCTGTTCACTCATCAATCCAAATCATCATGTTCTAACTGACATTTCTTCACTATCTAAAAATATCCCCATTATTATCATCATCAACGGTGGTACAATTTCTTCGTCATTTTTTTATCATCTAGGTGTGCTTTATTCAATTGTTTAGGTATACGAGGCAGAGCTTTTACAGTCAGATGAGCGCCTCCCATTTAGGCGGCTACTACAGGGATACGCATAGCGTTATGGGAGGCCCGTATGCCCTCGACGCTTCTAGGTGAGATCTCAACCAATCGAACTTAGGTTATATGTGGTTTCGTTAAAAAAAAAAGATGATTATTGAGTATAGTCCCAGAAATAATTGCGAGGGTTATTGTTAATTTCTGCAAGAAAGACATGTACATATTAAAACTGGTTAATAAGTTTTAAAAATTGGCTTTAAAATGGACGTAGGCTACTGCAATATTGATGTAGGTTAGTTAGAAATTATTTGTCATTATTTATTTATTTATTTATTTATTTATAATACAATATTCTACAGGTCAAAAACCCAATTACAGAGCAGGAATTGACAGAATATAATTATTAATATATCACAGTTTTTTTACATGAATGTTAAGCACATAAAAAGAACGGTATCCAGTCAATTCGTCGCGCGACCTTTCAGAGCCGACAATTCATGGCCACGACTTTTCATCGCTACGACAATTCATCGCCACAAAAATATCGTATTGTATCTATGATTTATACAGTATGTCTGAAAAACAAACAATTTTTTTTGTGCTATATTGAATTTTTCTTATAAGTACCAAATAAAAATATTTTTTCGAAAAAATTATAAAATATCTTACTCTAAATTACACAAAAATATGATTTACTTTTTTTCTGCTAATCAAGTAGTTTTTACTAAGAAAAATATAATAAATATCAATAATGTATTATTGATAAGCCAGTTTAAAGTGTATAAGCGGCAGTCGCAGGTTCTCAACAGTCCTTTACCTACTATTTAAAAAGGATTATCTTCATTAGCCAATTCGGATAAGTTACCACATTAGTTAATAATAATAGAGAATTATAATTATCCTTTATTAATCATTTCAAGGAGAAATTCATAGTGCAATCAATATTTAATTCTAAAAAGGATTATCTTCAATAGCTTGTTTGTGTAAGTTAGTATTTTAGATGCCCTGTTTATAATATATGTATATAAGGTTTAAATAAGAAATACCAAGGAACTGTAATCATTCTTATTTTGTCTTTGTACGAGTTTACATCATTGTAAAATTTGAAAATGCCGTTACAATTTGTTGACAGCGAAAGAGGTCACAAAATGCTTTTATACAATGGCCATACACATTCTAGAGAAAAAATTTCTGGAGGAAAAGGTATTTGGAAATGTTCTCTATATCATAAATGGAGATGTACCGGTCGCATTCATACCATAGGCGATGAAATTGTGAAGAGTACCGAACATAATCATGTGTCAGATAGTGCTGATGCCGAAGTAAGAAGAGCTGTTAAAAAAATGAAAGTTTTAGCTGAACAAAGTGGTTCCACTACTCAACAAATCATTGCAAAGGTTTCCGAGGGTTTATCATCATCGGCTGCAGCCAGATTACCACAAGTGAGTGCAATGAAAAGAACTATTCAACGAAAAAAGGAAAAGACAGAAGGAATTCCTGCGATTCCAAATTCTCTGCTTCAATTAGTTATTCCACAGGAATATACACTGACAAGCAGTGGTCAGTTATTTTTAATGTATGACAGCGGCCCATCAGAAGATCGAATATTAGTGTTTACAACAGCAAGAAATCTTGACTACATGTTGGAGTGTGAACACTGGTACGGAGATGGAACTTTTTCAACAGCCCCTAATATGTTTTCCCAAATATATACAATCCATGGCGTCAAATATTCAAATACCATTCCAACAGTATATGCAATTCTGCCGAATAAAAGAGAAGAAAGCTATAGACGTTTATATGCAGCATTAAAAAATTTGAAACCTGAACTTTGCCCTACATCTTTTTTAATGGATTTCGAAAAAGCAGCGATGAATGCAGTACGAAGTGACTTCCCTAATACTCAAATTCGTGGATGCTTTTTTCATTTTTCTCAGTGTATATGGAGACAAATCCAGAATACCGGATTTCAGAGGCGATATGTGGATGAAGAAGTGTTTTCATCAAATTTGCGACTTCTGGCTGCAGTTGCTTATGTTCCTGAAGACGATGTAGAGTGCTTTTGATTTATTATTGGAAAGTGAATCCTATGCAGAAAACGAGGACTTAGCAGATTTAATAAACTATTTTGAAGACACATGGATTGGTAGATTAGACAGAAGAGGAAGAAGACGGTTACCAAAATTTCCTATATCTTCTTGGAATTGTTACAATGCAGCCAGAGAGGGAATTGCTAGAACCAATAATGCAGTTGAAGGATGGCATAACAGTTTCAGTTCAATTGTTTCCATTGCACATCCCAACATTTGGAGGCTAATTAAGGCTTTACAAAAGGAGGAAAGCCTTAACAAATTGAAAATACAGCAAATTGTGGCAGGTAATGAAATTACTCTAAAAAAATTTACAAAGATTCTGCACGTCGTTTAAAACTACTTACAGAATCCTACGACGCTCGTAATACCATGGAATATCTTCGAGGAATTGCGCATAATTTTCGAATGCAAGTCTAAATTATTTAATATTATTATATTATATTAATTCAATTTAAAATGTAATAACTAGCAACTACAATTTTTTATATATTTTTTTTCAATATACCTACTTGTTTTTTATTACCTATACTAAAAAATATATAAAATAAAATTTTGATTATAATAAAAAAAATAAAATAAACCATAAAATGAATTCTAAAAAATGGCTGGCGACAAATTGTCGTGGCGGTGAATTGTCGTAGCGGTGAATCGTCTTACGATGAAATGTCGGCTCTGAATTTTCGCGCGATGAATTGTCGGGCGATGAATTGACGTAGATCCAAAAAGAACTTGTATTTTCTAATAGGTAACAAATTAATTAAGATAAAAAGTGGGATTTTATATGTGTCAAATTGCAATTAAATATATCAAGTTCATTGACAATAGAATTTGTCACTGTACACATGGTATGAATCGGAGAATTTTCCAGAACATAAATGCCAACAGTTTTCAGGATTATCAATTTTAAAAATCGTCTTTGAAATGCTTCTATTCGATCTATATGATACTGATAAAAGGGGCTCCACACAACTGAAGCATATTCTAACTTTGATCTTATAAAAGCATAAAATAGAGTTTTTGAGGTAGAGATTTCTTTAAAATCTCTATAGCTACGTGCAATTAATCCGTACATGCAACATTATCAATGTGCTTATTAAATGATAGTGCAGTGTCAAACGTGACGCAAAGATCAGTAAATGTTTTCGGTCGCTCAAGGGCAACATTTTCTATTGAATAATTAAAGACTAGGATATTCGTTTTTAAACTGTAGGACATAACTTTACATTTATCCGGGTTTAGTGACAAGTTATTTTGATAACACCATTCAACAACCCATGTTAAGTTTGCTGAGAGGTTCTCGCAATCACCTATCTTCTCCACGAGGCAGTGTAATTTTAGATAATTAGCATACAAAAGGAAATTTACATTTTTAACATCTGCAATATCATTAATGAACATAATAAAATGAGGGGTCCCAGATTCGACCTTTGTGGAACACCGGAAGAAGCACTATATTCAGCAGACCTAAAGCCATTGAGCTGGACGTATTGCTTTCGATCCCATAGATAGGATTGAAACAGTGAAATTAAAGAGGAAGGTAATCCAAAAGCTACAAGTTTATTGAGCAAAATGCCATGATCAAGTCTGTCGAAGGCCTTAGAAAAGTCTGTGTAAATAACATAGTTTGGGCTCTGTTGTCAATAGATTCAGCAATATATTGGGTAACGGTTAGAAGGTTGGTGACTGTGGAACGACTTTTCACGAAACCATGTTGATTTATACTTATATTACAACTTACATGACGACATATAACTCGCTCTAGCAGCATTTCAAAAACCTTTGCAAAGTTGCATATAATACAAGTAGGCCGATAATTTGAAATATCTCATCTATCTCCTTTCTTGAAAATGTGACAGACCTTTGAGGATTTCCAGATCCCTGGTATTGTAGCCGATTTTAAACAAATATTAATTAGTATGGAGAGAGGACGAGCAAGCACAGAAGAACAATCTTTTAGGACAAAAGCTGGAATATCGTCTGATCCGGCGGTCTTTTTTGTTGTTAAGTGATCTTAGTGCCCCATATACTTACTGTTCACTGAAGCTTGTAATATTTAAAAAGTGATTATTCTTATTTGTCCCAGAATTGGGTTGAAAAGGGGAAGAAATAGTATAGAATTGTTTAAAAAGAATTGCAAAACCGTTTAGAATATTAGAAGGTCCCTCCAGCATTTGACCTTCAAAATTCAATACTTGTGATATTTTGGAACTACCTCGTTTATTATTTATATATGCCCAAAATCTGTTGGGGTTTTTATGTAATTCTTCCTCAGTTTTGTCTAAAAATTTCTTGTATGCAACATCAACGTCATGCTTTATTTTCGCCCGAAGGTGTTTAAAATTCTCAAAGGCCTGTAAATTACTTTCCCGCTTGTATTTGCGCCAAATTCTACTTTTAGCTTGTAAATCTTTAATAATGCTACCATTGTACCAAGGAGGATATCTATTTTTGGATTTAAGTGTATACTTGGGACAGCAATAATCGAAAACATTGTGCTGAGTTTAGTTTAATGTCAACAGCTGTCTATTGGGTCTGTTATTGACAATGTTTCCACAAAAAAATATTTTTAAAGTAGGCGTAGGCATGACACATTTTTTTCTATAATTTTGTTTATGAATGTTGACATTAGCTAAGAATTGTGCTTCTGTCATTGTATCATCAAAGATAAATTTCTTAGAAATTAACCACGTTGCAATTTCATTTTTCTTCCATCGAGTAGTTGGTAAACGTTCACAATAACTGAATATTTAGGTATGATGCAGTCATTTGTTTGAATTATTCTGTAAACACGTCTCCGCTCATCTCTTCGTGATAATCACAGATTTTTTTTTCTTCAAACGAAAGTAAACTCTCCTCGCGAAATCCATTTACACTACCATTATAGGTAACAATTATTAGTCGTCAACCCTTACTTGTTTGTTCCTTCAAACCATCATCTTTATAGAAAAGCTTCTCGAGATGTTTTTGTTTTTTCTTTCCGAATTTTTCCTATAGAAAGCCAT